AACTGATGGATACCTTTTTGAATATATTTTACTCATAGTATAAAACTTCAGTGCTGTCAGAAACTGTTCTCTGCCTAAGCCTGAAGATTAAAAAAAGTGTCATCTTCACTTTCTGAATATTTATTTTATTACTTTTGAGCCTTGCTACGCCTTTGTCTTGGAAAACAATCTAGTATAATTAGAATGCATCTTTGAAGCCATTTGTATGATTGTCATCTTCAAATTTTTCTCAAACATAGAGCTCCCTTTCTGAAAAGAAAATATTCAGGACCTCACATCATACTTGTGGCTTTCCCGAGGACAGCTTTTCTTTGTGTTACTGTTTTGATTTTTAAAGCATGTTATTTCCCCAGTGGCCTTCCCAGTAATGCATACTGTGGTCCTTGCTACTTTGGATTAAGTGTGGATGTGCTCCTTAGAAAGCCAGGTCTCCAGATCTGGATTTTAATATAACTTCTCCTTCCCTGTGTTTTTTTTGTTTTTGTTTTTGTTTTTTTTTTTCCCCTCCAAGCTGATAGAGTAATATAGTCTTACCATCATGGCCAAGGTACTTGTTACAAGTTGCTTATGGTCTTTGACTTGAAAGCTGCTTTAGGAACTGTGAAGAAAGTTGATTGTTGTTGTTTATTTGTTTTAATTTGTCTTTTCCCTTTTGAATCTTTCTTGAAATGCATGCTAGTTATCAACTTCTGCAATGTAGCAATTCCTATAATTCATTCTCCTTAGGGTTTAAAACCATTTCTTGGTTTATGGTTAATATCTCCCTCACTGCCCCTCAGAAGAGACAAAATCTTCACTGGAAGGGGGGAAATTTAGATTGTGAGGTTAATTTCACTGAGAGCAGTCAGTTTTAGTGGGCATCACATCTTTTACACATGTGAATTTACTTTATCTACTGCATTTATCATCTTGAATTTCTCCCAGAAGGTGAAAACAACTTCTTAAACAGTGTGATAAGTAAAAGCAGCATTTTTGATGCATGAATTTGGAGAATACCCCACCTAGTGGATGACCATAAACTAATTTTCTCATTGTTCCACTTAAGATAAAAGGCTTAAGGTTAAGTTGAGCTAAAGAACAGTTTTTTCATGGATACCTTAATAAAAGCAAAGTGGTATACTGTGATGATGTGAAATATGTCATGTTGAAGCAAGAAATCTGTTTTTCTTTATGACTTAGATACAAGTCTGTAAGTCTAATATCTGTGTCCAGAAATTCACATAAAGATTGGAAGATGAGTGGCTGGAGAGCAACTCATTAGAGAGGGATGTGGGGGTGCTGGTTGACAGCAGCAGACTCAACATGAGCTAGCAATGTGCTCTGACAGCCAAGAGGGTAAACTGAATTTTTAGGTGCATTAAACACAGCATAGCCAGCTGATCAAAAGAGGTATTTCTCCTGCTATATTTAGTGTTACTGCAGCTGAACCTTGAATATTGTGTGCAGTTCTGGGCTCCATAATATAAAAAATCAAGTTCAGGTACTCGAATACATTTGGAAGCAGGCAACAAAGCTAGTGAAAAGGCTAAAAGGCATGTCCAGTGAGGAGAGCCTGAGGGCACTTGGGTTGTCTAGTTGGAGAAAAGGAGACCAAGAGGTGATCTTGCTCTCTATGAATCTCTAAAGAGGGGAAGTGGAAGGGAGATCCAGACGGGGGGAGAGGGGAGAAATACCATGTTAAAATGTACCTGTGAAAATGTATTTGCTAAATACACATATGGATGAAATAGAAAGCAGTGTGTTTATAAAATTGTGTTGTGTTTGTGGCAAAATAAATAAGGGTAAAATAAGTCCTTCATTTTCCTATGTAAGAGGTTCCTCAAAATATGCAACTCTTTTTGAAATCAGTAGAAGCAAAACATGTTGGTATGTTATAAATCTATCTGACCTCACCTTTCTTTCTTTGCCTGCAAAGAATTAAAAATTTCTAGACTCAAATGTTTGGAGATCATGGAGACCAGGGGATGCAAGTTCCCCACTGTGAACAGAGATTAGTTGAAAAAAGTGAGGTGAGGTAATATATCACTCTGCCCTTCCTTTTTCTATGTCCTATCGCATCCACGTTCATAATTAAGTGGATGAAGAAGTTTTTTTAGAAGGTGGGTTTTCTTGTTTCCTCAAAGTAGTTTTCCTCATTTCTGTCCTGCTTTTGGAGCTGATGTTTGAGTTTTTTATGCAGCGAGATTACATTCCTTACCAAGAGAAGTCTACGTAATCTTACATAAGCTTAAGCACCATCTATTTAGAATAGACACAACATTCTGTAAATGAAGAATCATACACATTTTCTGGAGACCTGAATGTACAAGTAATGTCTAAATGATAAAATTGCCTTGAGAGTTATGTCTACACACATGTTCAAAATTCCACAACTGTGTAAAAAGAGAAGGCAGGGACAAGAATTTATTATCCATGTTATCCATATTATAGTCCCCCCAGGTTTCCAGAAGTAATCTGCTTGTTAAATGGCAATAAAAGGAAGAAGAAATGTTTCAAGTAAGCCAACTATTTGAGGTAAACTATTTGTAATTCTTACTTCAGGACTACAGGTATAGCCTCTTGATGTGAGTTGTTAAAGACGTGCCAAGCATGACAACACTGTCTGTTCCTGGAGGCTTAGTTGCTGTGTTCTTTTTGTTCTTTTTCTTTTACCCTACAAATGAATAAGCAGATTTCTTTTTATTTCCTGCTGTTGCATCTGTAAACCTTAACACTTGTATTTTATACAACACTATATCAAATAAATAAAAGTGCAGGATTCACTGATAGAGTACGTGTACTAGGTATTGTTACTTTTGCTGCATGATGCAAAATCACATTAGTGATATATTGTCTTAAAGTATCATCTGTGAAGCTTTGATATCAATTGTATAGCGATCATTTGTTAGTCTGAAAGCATATTTTCCAAATAAAACTTTTTACCCTTTGCTGAAATTAGAATAGAGAGATTTAAACTGGTTATTCTGTTCAGCAGTACCTTCTGAGTTCAGATGTGTTCACATACAGTATTACTTCATCTGGTATTATGACATTATTTGGTCTTTTTGGTATAAGTCCACCTTAAGTGAGTTTCTGGATATACTGCTTATATTTGAATGTTAAGTTTCAATAACTTGTACATTACAATTTCTTTCCAACATTTTTTAGAGGAGTTACTAATTTCTTCTTTTAACAGTCTCTTGTTGCAGGTCGTATCAAATAATGTCATTGATGTCATGTTCTTGTAGGTCATATCAAGTATATTGAATAACTCGTATCAAGTATATAAATTCCCACAGTATAGTTATGTTTGTAGAAAAAGCTATTTAGAGCTTAAATTCTTAAAACATTTAGATAGATAAATAGAGCTTTAAATTCTTAAAACATTTCTTTTTTGTTCTTACTGATTTTTTTTTTTTCATAATTTATATGTAGAATTTTGTGTTACGGTGTCCTTTAATAAATGATCTAATAAGACGTGTTATTTCACTGAAACAAAGCTTAATATCAAAAGCAGTAAGTTTGACAGTTCTTTCTCATTGCTCAAAACCCTATGAAGCAGTCTGGGGAAGAAAGTTATACAACTATCTTCATACATGTTCAGGAATTGGAGAAGGAATTTTAGTTAAATTTCTTCTGCACACTGGAAAATAAGCATAATTCTAGATTTTTTTTTCTCAATAGTTAGTGGCTTGTTTAAGGTGGACTTTAAAAAGGTGTTAATTTATAGCTAGCTAGTTTTACAGCAAGTTAAATTATTGAACTGTAAGATCATCCTCTAAATATTTATTTCTGAGAAGTATATTTCCGTTGTGAGTAACTCTGTTAGTCTGGATTAGAGATTGGTTTTCTGCAATTGAAATGTGTGTGGGTGGCGGTAGGAATAACTTTTGAAAGTACGAAGAAAAAATTGCCTTCCTGTTAGTGGTTTAGATGCTTAGACTTTGTAGTTCCATGTCCTTCTGCTACTATTGACTGTTTTGATCTTGCAACAGAAATTATACAGTCTCCCCTCCATTAGAGGTGCTAACATGCTTTAATGAGAAGATCAGGTGCAGAGGGGGCAAATCACTTTTTATCTTAGCCTTCCTTGTACAGACAGATTCTTAAGACACAAAATTTCATTATTTTATTTGAACATTGTTCCATTTGAACACTTTTTTTTCCCTGGTTTTCAGTAAATTTGAATTTGACTGTACTACATCTATATATTGATCTATTTTTTGCAAGTTTTTACTCAAAAATTTTATTAATATTTTACTGAATTGCATCCACTGAACGGAATGTGCAGTTAAAGTACAAGCCATTGTGGATAAATTATCGCTGCTACTAAAGCAGATCTGAGATGGTTGCTTTTTAGCAAATAAATAAATATAATTTGAAATAAGAGATAGCTGTATTGTATGGAGAAAATAAATACAATTAGCACTGGATGTGAGAGCATCACTTGCTCAGCTCATTTTGTTTGTGCTAATTGCAAAGTTGTGGGCATTAACAGAAAGAGAGTATGCAAATATGGAGTAATTCTTAGAATCTGTAAGTATCTTCTGAGGCAAGGAAATGGTATTGTGCTATACTGTTTTTGCTCATTCTCTTTTACCTTGATAGTAAGTTTAATTTATCAAATACTTTTATTGGTAACAGATAATGTCACTTCAATCTTACAGCATGTTTCTAACTTAAATTCCACTTACAGGCACACTCAGCTGGGTTTTATTTTTAAAAGTAACTAATGAACAGTTTAGTACTGGTTAGTGAGAAAAAATAACAGTTCTAATGGGACCAAGGGGTTATTTCTTTTTGTCTTTAGTGAGCATATTCCACAAAGCAGGCCTGAAGCCCCTTTTACTTCTTCCCATTCTGTTTAAATTCAACTAACCAGTAAACTGTTACCTGATAAGTTAAAAAATGCAAACAATGTGAGATATTTCCCTTATGTTCTCAGAGCTCTTTTGACAAGAGAATTGGTAACATATTCAATGTCTTTTTTTTTTTTTTTTTTTTTTTTAAACTCAATACAGGCACACATCTATTCCTTGGGTGCCACATTGAAAGCAGCTATTGAATATATAGTAGAACCAGAGACAGAATCGGAATTTGGGCAAGATCTGCATACTCTCTTGGAACAAATGCAAGAGGAGAATCCTGAAAATAGGCCAGATATTGAGGTAAAAAAACAAACAAACAAACAAAAAAAAAAAACCTCTCCATAATTTTCCATTTAAAAAAATGACAGAAATGCATATGCATGTGTGATTATTAATAGAAATGCTATTTATATGTAATATGCTTGGTCTTTACTGCAAAGCTGAAGTTTTCCCAGGCTCAGCAGAATTGCTGCTCTTTTCCTAACCTAGTAGAAATACGTTTTTGATATCAACTGTAAATGACTTGGGGTGATTCCATTTTTAAGAGAACTGGGTGTAACGCTTGTGGATCTAAACCTCCTCATTAACTTTTACTTCCTATTTAATTTTTAGTTTATGGAATATAACAGTTGTATAAACGTAACTTTCCTTGGCTTTAGTTCTGCTTGAAAATTGTGTTTGTCTTTTCCTTCTGAGCTGACAGTGTACTTTTAAACTGGCATTGTACCCCTGATCAATACTTTGCAGAAAGAATGTTGCAACAGAGGAATGAATAGATTTGTTTCCACAAAGCAATTAATACTCATTCTCTGGTTGAGGACTGTCCAAGCAAGAGGCTGTTATTGTTATAGAGCTTGCTTGATCAGCTCCTGGATTTCTGTTAATATACTTCAGATCATGTCAGGAAAGGGATTGTGTAGCAATTGGTCTGTAATACCTGAAAACTGTTGCTGGCTGCTCAGGCTACCCAAAAAATGGAGTGAACCAAGGCTGGCCTATAGTAGTGCATAAACGTTGTTTTGTAATTATCTATACATTTCCCTTCCTTTTTCACTGGACTCTTGGTTGAGCAGATGGGAGTAGTGGGAGTACTGAGGGCAATCATATTGCTTGATTCAAGTGCATTGCTAGCTGCTTAAAAAATAATCCATGCTAGCTTTTTACATTTGCAGTACATTATTCATGCAGGATGACAGTTAAGATGATTAATTTTTATCAGTTGTTCAGTGTGTTCTAACTGTAGGCTAGAACTTGAACTGTATTAAATAATCTCATGATAGCCCATGGTAAAAATGATAAATGAATTCAACGACATAATAGAAATGTAGAATATAATGAACTGTGCAAGAAAGACCTCTCCAGTGTAACATCTTATAATTTCAGATGTACTGTGCAAGTTAACATGATTCACTTTACTCAAAATTCACATATCTATTCATTATTAAATAAGTATTTAACACTAATTTTCTCTAGAGTATTTTGTCATTATGTGAGGAAAAACTGAAGATTGCTTCATCAAGTAGTATTTGTCGAAGCCTGTCTGCTGTTGGAAGAAGGGTTCTTTCAATTGAATCATTTGGTGCTTTTCAAGGTACGCTTAAAATACGCTTAAGCTAGAATTTTAAATTGTAGCATATCTAAAGATTTCTAAAATACTGTATATACTTTCCTGTTCTGGCTTCCTTTTTCAGTATTGAATTCATAAATATTTATGATTGGAGGTGGGGAGCAGGGGACAAAACTCTAAATGAATGTAATAAATTTATCCAAAATGTATTTTACCTTATTTTGACTCTCTATACAGAGTGTTATGAGTGACTTGTCCTGAAATCATTGCATTTTTTTAACATAATTTTTGTAACTGAGGATGCTTTTTCAGCTACCACTGTTAAGTAATATAAAGATTTATTAGGAAAGATTAGAAGACTTAAATACACATTTAATATAAGCGTTGTTTTTGCATCTAGATGCCTGTGATAACATGTGGAAAGGAAGAGTGTTTCAGAAAAGTTTGGGATCTAAATTATACTCAAATGAGAGATACAACATAGGTGATTCATCTGCAGCAGAAGATGTAGCAGCTACTTGTCATAAAGACTCTTCTGTAGTTCCTGTGGTGACTGGCAGAGAAAGTAGCTTAAAGGAAATGCAAATTGATCTGGATAATGAAAAAACTCAACATTCTCTACTTGCAACTGAAGAGAAAAAGAGCAAAGAGGACAAACATGCAGTATATACTGATGGTTTTGCTAGTGTTGCTTTGGATATAAAATCATGTGTTAATGACCTGGAGAGAGATGGCGTTTTTAAGAAGGGTTCTTTGAGAAAAATTAAAACTTTTCCAAAGCTGCCACTTGAACCTACAGAAACAAATCACTTTTTTACATCTGTAACCAGCAGTGGACCAATAGATAGGAAAAATCACTTGCTTATGCATGAGTCGCTACCTCTAGACAATAATAATGAGGTTGGTTTTTCTAAGAGAAATCTTAATTCACTTGCTATTAGTAGTCCATCAAAAACAGAACCAAAGCATCACCAGGTTACTGATCTTCAGTTAGAGGCTTCTTGTGTGCGTACACAAGTGTCTGGCATGAATCTAGAAGAACACATGTTACTTATTAATGGTAAAAAGATAGGTTTTATTTCATCTGATCATAAAGAAGACTGTTCTGATGCTACCTCTGAAGTGTCCAATACAACTGGTATGCTAAAAAGCCCAAATCAATCAATTACTGGAGTAAAAAAGCTAGACAATTACATGGCGTTGGAAGACTGTACTGAAACTTTTCAAGGGTCAAATGAAAATTCCTTATCACACTTTAACAAGATGACTTCAGTTTTAACAACAAAACCCAGTGGGAGCAGATATGGATCAAACCTAATTAGGTCTCCAGAATTAAGCAGCGGTGCATTGAGCGCAAACAATAATGAAGATAATCTTTGTGGAGGCAGAGGGTCAGAAATCAGAAGTAATGAGCAGGTAGTAAAAATAAAGTCTTCATTGTATAGTTGCTGTGGTCACTTATGTGGAGAGGAAATGACTTAAATACTGCGTGTTTGCTTTCCATCCCTCTCTCCCTTCCTTTAACATCCTGAAAAATCAAATTTTGCTAGTCTGCACACTTTGAGAGTTAAAATTGGAAATGTGGTGATGCTTTTTTCTCTTTAAAAGTAATTTAAAAGTAATGTGCTACAGTGAAATTACAAAACCAGCTTTGATTTTTTTTTTTTTTTTTTTTTTTTACAAATGGTACTGGAGTATAGTTGCTAGTTTGTCAGAGTTGCATAATTCATAGCTAATTACATATGTTAAAAAGCATTACCAAAGCATATGTAAATTTTTAATCCTTTTATGTTACTGTCAATCCATGAAGTTCACTACCTTGCAGTTTGCCTCCCACATGCTTATGGAAATTGCAGTTTCTGGTTGTAAACCTGACCTTACCGAAATCAATGGCAATATCCTATCTGCTTCAGGAGAGGAAAAGACTCCACTTTTTTAATCCACATGTACATTTAGGCTTTTGAAAACTGTACATATACTGTATTCTGTGCTCTTAAATGACAGCTTTTGTGTGTTATGTGTATTTCATGATAGAATTCAAATGTGCACAATATGATAAGTGTGTTGTCTCAAGCATTTTGTCTCTGTATCTGTAGCCAAATGTGAAAAGGGAAAGCTGATATTAGTCTGCTACAATTTGTTGATAGTGTAGCATGGTCACTTGTCTCTTCAAATTATAGATTCTCAGGGTGGACAAGTTTGGTCTCTGAGTTGATGATCTTCTTTGGTGCAGTACTCACAGAGAGATAGCCCTTGTGATTGAGAGTTGCTTACTAAGAATGCAGGATGGCTGATTCTCCTGCAGCCTCTCTTTGACTTGGAAAAAATGAGCAGCACAAACCTTATCCACTTAATTTCCAGAAATTCTGCTTTGGTTAAAGTAAATATTTCCTGTTTTCAGCTGACGTCTCACTTTTGTTCTCCATCTCTAATTGCCTGTCTTCCTGACATCCCATGTATTTAGAGTTATTTTCAGTTTGTATTGGTTCCCCTTTTCACCTTGCCTGGACACCTCAACTGGAGCAGTGACCTAGAATGTGTGAACAGCTTTTAGTCCATGGCTTTAAAAAAAGAAAAAAGGAAAAAAAAAAAAAAAAAAGGAATTTGTTCTGCCTCTTTTTCTTTCCTCTGTCTTACTCCTTCAATAATTTGTACTTTCTTCTCAGTGCAGGAAGATAGTAAATATGAATAAGAAACATGTGGCAAGGTTTAGCTCTTTGAGGGAGTTACTCGTTACATGCATTTTGACTCCTTTATTTGGTTTTAAGTCCCACAAGATTTTCTTCAGACTCTAGTGAAATATTCATTTGTTAAAGACGTATCCCCCTTCTGTGTTTTTTTTTTTTTTTTTTTTTTTTTTTCCTTCCTGCTCTGAGCTATGCAGGTCCACATAATCAGAAGGGAATGCAAAAGAACAATCAGATCTATAGTCACTCCAAACTCTTCTGCTTTTACTGCCATTTGTTCCTATGGTCATACATGAGCATGCTTTATTTTGCAGAAGATGATTATTTAACAAGGAGCAGAGCAATTGCAGTCAGTTGTTGTTTTTTTTTTTTGTTTTGTTTTGTTTTGGTTTTTTTTTTGTTTTGTTTTGTTTTTTGTCCAAGGAATGAAGATACTATTCTTCAGTTGCTTTCCTTCAGCCTCTTAACTAGAGAGGTATGATGAATAAGCTGCCATCTCTTAAGAAAATAAATTGACTGCATTGACAAGACTTCTTTAGAGGGGAACAAATCTGTTGAATAAGACATATATTCTGTCTTTAGTGGATTATCAGTACAATAGTTTAAGTTTGGGTACATGAAGACACTTTCAAGAAAATAATCTTTTTCTGAATTATGCTTTCCCAAACTTCTTCCAGAATCTAAAAGCTGAAGCAAATGTCCTGTTTTCTTTTCCTGCAGCAGTGATTGGATTTAGCACACAGCAGATTAAGTATATTTTCAGATTAGTCTGCCCTTTCTTCTGAAATCCTCTTTTTCTTCAAATATTTCATCATCAATGACTATTCTTTCCATCTGAGCAGAACTTCATTCTTTGAAATAAGTAGGCTTTTAGTAGAAGTGCGGTTATCTTGCTGTCTCTGAACTTGCAGCACAATCACTGTGAATTAGCAAAGGTAATCCAGCTACCCAAATAAGTACTGTATTAGTGCACATATTCTGAAATTAAGACAACAGAGTGGCTGATGTTTTCTGTAAGCTAGCAGGTTTTACAGATTCATACTTTTTTCTTTCTTTTTTCTTTGGTCATAAACTCCACCAACCATTCATGTTCTACCATTCTTCAGAACGTCTTAAATTTGTGTGTTGGTCTTCAGTAATCAGAGTTTTATCTTGAACTGCTGGAGGAACAAAAAAGTGCTTTTAGATGTATCAGTATACGTGAGTAATACCTGGGCTTCTTGCAAATAAAAGGAACCTGAAGTAGCTGTCTATACCCTGAAAAGCTCAGTGTCTAGCATGGTAATCTGTTTTCTTAAGATCATACTGGAGCAGGGTCATTCATTTTCAGTAGTTGCTGAAGTCTAAGGAGAATTCTATGTTGTCTTATGTAAGGATTTGGGTTGTTTTGCTTTATTTGTTTTAAATGTTTTCTGCTGCTTTTTTGTGTGTGTCTCTTCCAAGACATATTTTTTTTCCTCAGGCTTCTGAATTGCTTGCCTCTGTCTTTCTTCCTGACAATTGCAAAAATAAAATCATGCTGTGCTATCTGTTATATGAAGGAGTTGCACCTGATTTCTCTCTACGCTTTCAAGTTCCCTTTCATTTTTTATTGCCAGAATTTTACTGAATACGGGGAAAAAAAAAAAAAGCAACTTCAACTCCAAGGGTTTGTTCATTTGCTACAAAGACAAAAAAAACCCATGAAGCTCCAGTAATGTAATTTTATCTTCTGGGATAAATGGATAAAGCTTCAGAAGATTTACAGTGCTGCTCTTTCACTAGTTTTCTATAACAGATGAGCATACTTACGGCTTTTAGGAGAGTACCTCTAGAATGTCTTTAAATATTTCTTGTTCTTTAGAGAGTGTGCAATATTGGTTCCATCTGGCTGAAGATCAACCTTGTCTACTCTGGAGAACAGACAGTCTTTTTTCTTATCTGTCACTAATACTTCTCCAGTGGACAATATTTTTCAAATATCCCAAAACTGCTTTTTAATGTTGTGTGCTTTAATGCTAGTAGGCATTACTAAAAAATGCTTGCTTTTGTCTGGCTTCTGCAATGTATCTTGTGAGGGTTTTCTCAGAGGTTTTTATAGTCTTGCATGCCATAAATAAATATTTTTCACTTCAAGTTTGAGTGGGGATCTCTTATTTCTCTAACCAATTTCATTCCAATCAGGTGTATATCATCTCTAACACATTTAAATGTTTCTATGTGATTCGAGTGCTGTGGTCTTCATGTGGGCAGGATTAACAGGAATTTGGCATATATGTTTGTTTTCTGTTTGTCATTCATATCCAGTCAAGCATGAGAGAAAGTGAAAGGTTGAGAATGACATTTGAACTGGAGAAATACCACTTGAAGGAAAGAAAAAAATGTCTATTCCCAAATAGTACTTATTAAGTAAATTATAATGAAATTTTACTTGATTTGGCTGTTAAAAATATGCTAGTGTTATGTTCAAAGAATATAGTATATTGGCATCATTTTTACAGTTTGGACAGTTCTGGTAACAACAATTAATGAAATAATAGATTTACTAAGTAATCTTTACAGCACCAATGAAAAGCATCGTTTTCTTAACAAGTGGCATTTAAAATACAGGCTTTTTGGCATACAGTAAAATGTCATTAGTGTGTAGGTATAGGCAGTAATCATTCATGGTTTTTACATACTGTCAAAGAATTTTGTGCTGTGGAAAAACACTTGCTTTAAAAACGGGTATGTAATTCTTCATATGAAGAGGTGCATTTTAAAACATGAAGAAAAATTTCAGAAGAGGCGCTGAACTGTCATGTTTGATGCAACATTAATGGCAATGATCTAGAATAAAAGTTTTAATCAGTATTAAAATATTGACTTAACTGACTTGAGGTCCTACAGATGTTGAAGGATTGTTTTGATCTTGTTTTGCTAAAATACCTGAGTAGGCGGTTGAGAAACAAAACATGCTATAAGCTGTTTGACCAAGAATTTTGACCAAGTTTTCCAGCATTCCAGGATTTTTCTTGGTTAGTTGAGGTTTTGTATTTGAAAAAAAAAAAAGTTGTAGGAAAGAACAATAGCTACAATCAGCAACTTTAAAAACAAATAAAAAAGCCTGAGACATATATCTATGTAAGGAAGATTTCCACCTAAGTGTTTACCAAAACGTAAGCATATTCAACAGAACATGAATGTGAATTGAGTAAAATACTTGCCTTGATGCTTAAATAACCTAGGTTGAGATTACTATTTTTTATTAGAAAAATATTTTTTTACCAATTCTTGTATTCTTCGTCACAAATGTAAATATGTGATGAATTGTGTATTATCATGTACATTCAGTATATTGGATAACTTCCACAAAATATTAGAGCAAGTCCCCAGCAGGTCCGTGGAGCTCTTGAGATGAAGTCCTCCAAATTCCTCTCTTTCCAGTTGGGGTAGGTGAGCATTGGAAGTAACAAGGGACATTAGAAATATGACTTATTCCTGGAAAAAGATACCTGAAAAAATTGATGTGGTCAGGGATGTGAGGGGGATGTGAATTACAGTAAGGGACACTCTTAATGAAGTCAGTTATTACAATCCCTATGTAAGAACAGGAGATAAACTTCTTTAGGATGATTGTCAGAGATGAACAATGAGGATATGCATCTCAGTAGCATTCACCAATCTGTAACCAGACTCCATCTTTTTGGTGTGTGTGTGTATCAGGTTAATTTGACTGTCTTGTGAATGGCACTGATTTTCACTTCTGCTAAGATTTGCTTTTCCTGCATCATTTTTTCTTCTGAGACAGAATTTCAGTTTTTGGCACCTTTTCATCCCATTTTGTTATCTATCACTGACACTTTCCTCTTTCTTATCATAAACTTCTGCTGCTGGTCTTAGAGTTTATTACTACTTTCTTGCTGTGCTTGAAGATCTTTCTGTTGTTTCTTTCTTCCTCTGGAGAGCTTTGATATCCTGAAGCTGATGAGAAATACCTTTCAGTTTTCTGCTGTACAGCTAACTTCAATCTCTAGTTTAGTGAGAGATTCTTCTTCCCCTTGCTAGCTGTTTGTCACCACCTCCTGAAGTCAGAGGTGATTTGTATACAGAATGCAGGAAGCCAATCTCTCTGCTGCAGCTTTTAGTGCCTCTAGGGACATAAACTTCAAGAGGAGGGGTTCTCTTAGAGGGAAATATGACACACATTCCCACATTCTGAAGTGTTCTATTCAATCTGTGGTATTTCTCTTTATTTCCCTTTACTTGTGTCAACTCTCTGAGATGAATTTGAAGCTTTAGCTCCATTTTTTTATTGTAAAATGTCTGCAAGCAAATGCATTTCTGAGGCACTTGAAAACAAGTATGTTATGGAGGGGGAGCTCAGCTCTGCTCGGGGATGGTAATTAGTCAACAGTGTGAAGATCTCTTTCAAGTATTCTTTAGATTAATTCATTCTTTTTACTTTCTGACCTCTTCCTCCCTGGTGCATAATTGATGTCTCTTTATTACAGTTATTTCTAGATATAATGAAGCAACACATTTGTAAAATAATGTTTAACTCAGAGATGCTGTTAATAACAAAACTTGAGCATAAAACTTAACTAGATTACCCAGCTTCAAATCTGTTTGTTCTGGAGTTACTAATTCTTTATAACATGACACAATGGGGCATAGGATAATAAAAGCACTACGTTCATTTTTTGTGTGTTAAAGGTAGGCAGAAAATAGAATTCTTTTAGTATTAGTATTAGTATAAAAAAAAAAGTGAGTTTGATGGCACATCTTAAGAAATATTAGTAACTTATCTGTTTCGCCTTTAAGGAATATTTAAACAGTATGTAACCAAGTTATTATGTTTATTGTGAACTATCTTCTGGGTAGTATTGAATTATCAACAAAGTTTCAGCTACAGAAATTAATATGGTTCTTTTTCTCTTCTTTGTAGATTGCAGGGAAGTTATTTGTTGATTGATTAAAGGTGATGCAGTAGTTTATTCATTACCTGTTTTACGATAAGCCTGAATACTGCTTCATGAAGGGAGTTTTGTATCCAGGGCCATGAAAAATAAGTCACAGTGTATGACAGTGCAGAAACTGATGTGTCAAAAATAACATACTGTAGTTGTGCATGAGAAAAATATTGTGAACATTGATTGAGATACAAAGATGTTCATTAAGCAGTAGCAAAATGGTTCTGAGATTTTAGTTTTTATTTCTAATTCATGTGTTCCAGTTATGTATTTATTTTTCCAGAGTTAATCTTGAATTGATGTCAGTAGTTTTTTTTTTCTCTGATCTGGCCTAATGCTGATATTTAGACATAGATAACTGTTTTAGAGACTGCACATGCAACAGAAACTATGCCATGTTGTTTTAAAATAGTGTGTGGGTCTGCTCTAATCCAGAGGTTTCTGCCTATGGTGAGTTGTTTTTTAATGTTCCTTTGATAGATAAATAGTGATCATTATGTTCAGTTGTTGTAAAATAAGGTTGATAATCTCTTCTATCAGCACAGCATGGTCTGGAAGATATCTGTGTAGTATTGTCGTGTCAAGTTCTATAAAAAAAAAATACACAAAAAGAAGAAAATCAGAGAGCTTAAAATATAGATTCTCTGAGGAGCAGCTTATGTGGAGTGGTATCTTGGTCACATTAAAGTATTTTTCAGATATCAAAAGCTAAATTGATAAAGAGGAAAAAAAAATAGTCATTGCAAATTGAACATCCAGTGATTATAAGCCAATTAATGTGCTTTAAGTAAACCTGTTGTTAATTCTGTCAGTATTGTTAACATCTTTCACAGAGGAGCAAGACATATTGATGGAATATTTAAGGTAAGGCTTGTAATGTAGCTGTTAGGGTAAATCAGGATTTGAATGTAGGTAGGTTTTGGTGGTGGTAGTCATTCAGATTTTTGTGTTTAAGTCTAGGTAACCTCCCTGTAATTGTGTCATCTTTGACATTCTAAAAGAATCCTTACTTAGCATGATAAGAAAGAGCTTCCAAACAGCCCACTCCTCCTGAAACGCTTATGTTGCTGAAATCCCACTTGAATTCAACTTTTGATATGCAATTAAGAAGTTTCTGATTCATTACATAGTAGTTAACTGTGTAATGATATTCAGTAAGAGTTGTGATTAGTTTTCTCCTGTTGCATGCAGTAAATTTTCTTAATGCTTTTTAGATGTGTGCATTATATATTAGGATTTTCTTTTGCATTACATCAGAAAACATATTTTTTTTTTTTGCAATGATTTTTGATAACTCTGCATCCTCTTTATTTCAGTGGATTTCTCTAAAACTCCTGTTATCCTGGTATGGTAAGCCTCTGAAGGACCATGAACTCTGGGCTTTATGTCATGAATGTTTAAGGACTTTACACACTTGCACAGATTATCCAGGTAGGATCTTAATGTTGTGTTCTCTGTAGTGATGTTCTGTTGATGTACAATATCATGACTATTTCATTTTGCTTATTGAAAAAATAACAGCTAATACTTCTAAATTCACTCTTAAAGTGTGACTTTGAATTCTTACTCCATTTAGAATTCTCTTACATGGATATAACACTGTACAGTGTCTTATTTTTTTCTTTATCCTGTGCTTTGATAGTTTTTATAGGGGAAAAGATTTTTATGACTTCAAGCAATTAAACAGGTTTTGTGTTTAGAAATTTTGGGTATGGAGAAACTGTATCGTGCCTTTTGAGAAAACTGCTTGGGGCTTGTCATGAAGCTTATGGATGAAGAGTTTCTTTTACATGTTAAACTTTCTTTTCCCTGATTTGATGTGACCCATTATTCCTGTGATACGAGATTGTTTAGTTATAGTGTCCAGGATCTCATCATTACATTACGGTACACCATGCTTCTATTTGCAGAGTTATCAGAAGTCAACTTCTGAGAGAGAAATGTGGAACTGTGCTTTGACAGAATTGCAGTATATTGTATGTGACATGGAAGAAGATCATCCTAGCTTTCCACTGACATTCTGAATATTGGTTTATTATCCTGTTAATAAATCTCTAGTAGTTCTTATAAAAAGAACAGATTCCCATCACTACACCCTGGCTTCCCTTTTCCTTTATTTAAAAAGTCTGCTTTTGTCTGCTTGGAAAGGGATGAGTTTGAAGTCTGTAACTGAATATGAAGAAATGGATAGTAAGTTACATAGAACTTAGTGTGTCTTTTTGGTTTTCAGTTTCAGCTATTTTATCTTTTGTTATATTAAAATGTTACACTGGAAATTGTCTATAAAAAGAGATTTATGAACACTTTAAGCAGCTTTACCCTTAAAAATAGATATTTGATATATACCTCGCAGCAGAAAGATTATTTCAGCCTCATAAGATGTTCCTAATGTTTGTGAAAGCTTCAGGTAACTGCACATAGCAGCTTAGAGTTTAGTTTAATATGTGTAGACAGCCTCTGTTACAATACTTACATGCACTGAGAATGCATAAATCTTTACAATAGTGAAAACTAAATTATGATCTGAACCTTATGTAGCCAGTAAAAGTGAACATAATAATGAAAACTTGTAAATGGAAGGTATCTTACTTAAAATTCCATGTTTGACGGACCAAAATCAACTACCTTGATTTTGAATACTGTCTTCAGATTTAGAATATTTTTGCCAGATAAATTTCTGCCTATTCTGAGAGTAATTAATCTGATATTGTATAAACTGTGTGTTCAAAAATCCTAGTCTTAACACTGGTAGAGCCAGATTGGTAACTCATAAGTCATAGTAAACACTGGCATAAGCTGGATTTATTATTATTTAGAATTATTATTACTTAAATAGCCTTTTCCTCTAAATCCATTGCTGTTTTTTTCTGTTACCTTAAACAGGAATTACCTCAGTAAGAAAACATATTCTAAAGCTAGTCTGTCCATGTATTTTTTAACTCATTCCTGCTATAAAAGGAGTTTGCAGTCTCTACTGAGACTTTGCATATTGCCTCTCCTCTTACCAGAGGATATTGCTTTCATGATGCTTAGAGGCACTTTAGAAGACCCAGGTGAGAATTCTTGTGTTGTACTGATCTGAAGTCTGGTTTGTGTGAGCAGTGTTATAGATTCAGAGCCAGAGGCTTTACCTGTTGAGAAGTAATGACAGTGAGCAAAAATAATTCTCCAGGGTGCTGTAGAAATAGCTGTTAAAGAATCTCATTCAGAAAAGCTTTGCATTTCAGGTCTAGTTTGTAGATAGTAGTACGCAAGCTTTTATTTGCCTTAAGCATAATGTATTTTAATGACTTTAAATGTGCTTTGTACAGGTAACTACAAAAGCAAATGGATGGATTTTTTTCTTAGACATCTTCAATTTATTATTTAATAATAACAATATATATATATTGCTTTTAGACTTCTCTCATGTATTATTTAATAAAAAAAATCAATAATTTGACCACTTATTTAATATAATCTAAGAATATGCTGTTCTAGTACTCTGGGACAAGACTCTTATGTAGGAAAATAAGAGTTTGATGGTAGACTAAAAAGTAGGACTACATTGCTATCCAACTGGATTATTATATTGCAGAATGTTAAATAAGTTCCCAAGTAACCCAGATGATTTAAGGCAGTTTTAGAAGCCTGTTATTTCTTACCAAACTGTGGAGAGTTTCAGGGCTTTATCATGCAAATAACAGTCCACATCACATTTCTTTTCTGGGACAGTGTGTGCAATTATGGCTATTTGTACAAAACAGGATATCTTATCCTATTCCATCTAGAAGAGTTCTGCATGTGCTCATATATGTCTCAGTTGTCTCCACATAATGACTATTTTCATGTTCAAGCCTTATGATTGCCTGCAGTGGTGGTGATATTGCCATTTACATCTATCAAAGGCAAAATCCTGGTTGAGCATTTTTTATGTTTAATCCCAAATTTGTTGCTTTAGGATTGTTGTTGTTGTTTTTTTCTTTTATGTGGGGAGGGGGGTTGGGGAAAGAATGAAGAGAGGAGAGTTTAAAGGCTTAGGATAAGAAGTTCTGGTACCTTGTGAGAAGACCATAGTACATCTGGCTGTTGTTTTCCTTTCTTTTTTTTTAATTCCAGTATTCTAAACCTTTTCACTAACTGTAGTGTGATTTTGTTTTGCTTTCTTGTCTTTTCTGCTGGAATTGCTTTAGGTGATTATGCGTTTTCTATCAATTGAATATTGATTTCTGTTTGAGCATTAGCGTAAAAGTTTCATTTGTCACTACTTAGGGTAATTGATGATATTGAAAATTATTTTTAAAATTATTTTATTTGTTTGATTGGTGTTGAATAGTTACATGAACAGACACTTATTATGCCTTCTACTTTTGTGACTTGTTTTGCAGTGATCTTATGTTTGGACACTGTACTGCTGGACTGCCATGGAAGAGTCCTCTTTACTGCTCCAAAAGCGGAAGGTAAACCAATATATTGAGTGCTCCACTTTTTTGTCTCTTGAAGGGAAGAGGAGAATTACGCAAATATCTTACCTTTTGTTTTTGGTTTCTTTTTTTCATTTAGAATCTTGTGATATAATTTATTTAGCTCCTGAAATTGAAGAGGAGGATGTAGATACTGAAAAGGTAATGTGGTAGGTTATGTAGGTATTCGGTTTATCAAAGCATAGCTGTATCCCTCTGCCCTTTAAAGAAGAAAGCAAAACTCTTCTAAGATTGTGGTAATAAATCTCTCAGTGTTTCTAATATTTCTGTGGTTTGTTATGTATCAGTCTTCCATAAACTTAGTTGCCTCTAAAAAAAAATCATTTTGTCTTCCAAAACAGTGACTGCCAAATAATGTTCTTCATTAGTTTTCCACCAGACTGACTTATTTTCAAGTTTGTCAATAGGAAGACAGATACTGAAGTCATGGTTTTGTGTTCTGGAGGTCATGCTAAGATCAATTTTTTAGACTGTCTAAGAAAAAAATCAAATGAATCTCCTTTGTAATATTGGAAAATACTGCTGTCAGCATATTTTCTTTTTTGAACATGATTATTAATGTCAATGTCTCTTACCAGTACATTTTTCCTAGTGCTTTTTTCTTTGGATATAAACCCTAAGTTGTTCTCAGGCAAAAATGATAAAAATGTTAATAAACAGCAGATGAATGTTTGTCTCCTTTGCAATTGCAACTGAATGAGATGGATTTTAAGAGCAGAGGGAAAAAAATTACTGTATGATTCTATTGTGTGAGAAGAAAGAAGTTTAACTAATATGTTCCTTCTGCCCTATGAGTTGTTTAAAATTAGAAATAATAGTCATGATTCAGAGGAAAAAAAAACAACCTGCATTAAAAATCTAGTAAAGCTAGATTTTGACTTTCTGTAAAATAATCTGAAACTAGGAAATATTTATCTTCTCCTTTAAAGTTTCTCTTTCTACTTAAACTGCTTTGATCCAACGTGCACTTTTAATAGGTTCAAAAGCTTAAACTAACCCGAAGATACAATATAGCAGCTTCACCAGTAGAAATTAATAATTCTGAGGTCTTTATGCCTTTATTCTCTATTCTTCAGAAAATATAAACTTTTTTTCTTGTTTTTCTACATTATACATAGAATAAGCTGGAATCCTATTTTGACTTTTTCCTTGTATCTGTATAACTTGGTTGTTATGAAAAATTTAGTTAGAATTATATTATGGGAATCCAGACTGCATAGTGTCAGCCACAGTAACTGTCCTACATCAGTGAAAGGAACGTTTTTGAAGTGTGCGCTAAATTAGATAAATTAATAAACATTAAAATTATGATCACGTTGGCCTCTTGGAATTCTAGACCTAAGGGGAAGGAAATCATTTGATTTTGACAGAGCTACTTTCTCCTATTTCAAGCATCTTATACCCACCAGCTTTTGTTCAACAGCTTGAATGATTCAAAAGTTAGTTTCTTTGTACTGAATTTCCTTGTTATGTTGTATTCAGTGTCATTTACTTGACTCTAAAGACTGCTAGAAAATGTTGTTTGGACCATATTATTTAGTACTGTGCTTGGGTTTCCATCCCTTGAGCCTTTTTAATACCTTTCATAAGCAATATGAAGAAGTACAGTGCTCTAACTTTGTGAAAATTAGATTTGTAGGGTATGCTAACATATGTAAATTAAGCATTAAATAGTCTTATTCTGGCTCTGTCTGAAAATTGTAATTTTTGTCAAATAAAATAAGAAGGCTCTTGAAGATCAAGCACTTTACAAGGTCCCCCATCATTGCAACTTAGTTGGTCTAGCTGCAGGTAGCACAATAATTCCTAAAATAAATACACAAAACTAGTTCTTCTGATAGGTGTAATCTTCTCTGTAAAATATGACTTCTACTGGCAAACTTGTAATTACTTCATGCCATTTTCTTTCTGAATTATCATGACCTTTTTAAAGAAAATTGCTGCTGGCCAGACTTTATTGTAGAACACTAACGCTTGTGGCAGTAGGTTTTTATATGAGAAAGGAGTTCTTCAAAACGATTCTAAAAGCTTTTTTTTCCTGAATAATTTTCCTAGATAAAGAATAAGACAAATTATGTCTGTTGCTCCAACAGTAGAAAATTAGCTACTATTACTGGCACTGCATGCATAACAGCAAGTTTTTGAAATCAGCTTCTTAGAAGCCAGGTGTCATCTGTATTTTGGAAGTACCGGTGGTTATTTTGTGGGGAATGAAGGAAAATTCTGGACAATTTTCCAGATTTAATATTGAGAATGGGTATTTTGTTTTGGTTTGGTTTTTTGATTGCTTACATCTTATGTCTCTCCTGTGTTATGCCACTAGGTCTGCATTTATGGTGTTGCTGCAGTTCTTTGGATGGCAGCAAAATTCAGCATTTCACCTAATCACAAACTGGCCTTGCCAAGAAAATTAAAAAACCTTCTTCTGAATATGGCAAAAAAAAATCCTGAAGAAAGACCTTCTGTAGCTGATGCAATTAAGGTTACTGGATTTAAGCAATTTTATTTGAAATTCACTTGTCTAAAGTCCTGTCTTAGTGAACTGAATATCAAAATATTACATTATTTTTTCTAATAATGTAATATCTAATTAAATGATAGCCAGTCACTCTTGGATTTGTTTTTTGAAGTGACCTCCCTAGGGACACGGAGGGGTGTGTTTTCAATTTATATTGAAATTATCAATAGGTAATCAGAATAAGTTCATAACGCATTCTAGACTTGGATTATATTTAAATGACTATTTACCTTGACTTTGTCCTTGTCCAAGAATATCTCACCTGCTTAAAAACTTACATACTCTCTTCAGAGAGTCTTCACTATGATTTTTTTTTTTTCAGACATGCAGTCATTATTTACTTGAACGAGGAGTAAACAGCAAAAATATTTTGGCATTGTTGAATAAATCTGTTTTTAAGGTATGAATTCCACCTTTTTTTAATTGTTTACATTTTTTCAATTAATTCTTTACAGTGTGTTCTGATTGGATTTTTCTCCACCTCAAGTATAGTTATATTTGTGATTTTTCTTTTCTTTAATTCTCAGGTATTCTGTAAATATTGTTTTTGTGAGAGCATTAACAGTGAAGTTATATTACTAAGAATTTCATATTCCTTGCAGAAATGTAAAATAGATATCGAAATGGCATTCTAATTTTTGTAGTCTGAATTTTTTTGTCTGCTCTTAACTATCTATGTTTGCAGCTATGTTTAAGTTCTCTGGATGTACATAAGGGAGTCTGAAAGTAAGTCTTCAAATGATGTGCTTGTAGTTGGGAAGCTCTGCTTGGTAAGGAATTAAGGCAAGGATGCAGGTGCTTTTTAATATAAAATTCTGAAGGTAATTTAAAAAAAAGCAATTTTGTCACTACATTAATGTGTAGTTATTGTGTTCTGATTACGTTCCAAACTGTATATACTATATACAGTGTTCAGCTTTGTGCAAAACCTTTCCCAAAAAGTTATTTGATTAGTAGTTTATCAAGATGTACAAACAGCTCTGCCATTCTATAGAGTTTAGTGCACAGTTCTCCACACTGACATGCTAATAATTTCAGTTTGGGCTTCATTTTTTATTGTTAGGCTGTTGCAGAGGATGTAATCTCTTCTCCACATAATGTAGCTTTTGAAATTGAAAATGAAAGACTTGAAATGAATGCTTCAGAGTCAAGTCTAGGTAAGCAGATTTTGATATATTTCATTGGCTAGATCAGTTCTCTGTATGAGATTTTCTCTGTCAGATGATGGGTGTTTTTCTATCTAAGCTGATTATTATTTACATTGCATTTATATTTTACATATTGTTCTTCTTTTATCTAATTGTGTTTTTATTTTAGGATTTATACCTATTACCGGTGAAAGTAAACTTATCGCAGTTAAAGGACCAGTACCATGCCAGATTTCTCTAAACTGTGAGAAAACTGCATTACCTGTTGCATTCACCTCTTCTGCAACTCACTTTAAGCCTATCATTCTGCAGCAAAATGCAAATATGAAAAAGTTAGTATATCCTAATGCAAAATAAGTTAAAGTTGTAACTTAACTATTACATCACTGGCATAGTCCTGTCAAAATTCTTTGTTCCTTTTCAGGGAAGTTCACACACCAGCTACTGAAAAATTCAAAGAAAAGTCGAGTAAAGAAAAATGCATTGATTACAACAAATTAGGATATGTAGAAGGCTCTAAAAACTGTGGTATCAAGGACACAAATGTAGTTGAAACTACATCTGAAATACCTGAGTGTCATTTACAAGTTCCAGGCCATCCGTTCCAGATGCCTTTAGAGAAGGAAAAGTCAGGCGATATATTTACTTCTGATCCCTCACGTATTCCACAGGAAAGAAAAATTTTATCTGAAGTTCCTTCAAGCTCCTTAACTTCTCTTATATCTCCTAATTCTCTTCATATAAATAACATCATTCTCAAACAGAATTCAGAGAAAAGAGTTTTAACATTTGTACCAGTACACTTAGCTGTATCAGAGCAAATACCAAATAAGCCTCTTCATTCAAGGGTTGCTGCTGATTGCTCTCATAGTTTGCCAGTGCTACTTTCAAGTACTATTGCAAGTTACAAACTCAGCATGCAAACAGAAAATGACTCCTCGCTACTCAAAGTACAAAACTGTAAGACTATTAATACACAGAATGCATTTGAAAAAACTAACCAAGTTGTTCAGACCAACTGCCAAGATATCGAGGGTGCTACCAACACAAGCAATATTTTCTCTGAGCAAGGATTCACTTCTTGTACCTCAGTGGATGGAGAGGCGGCTTGTGTCTTTGATGTAAAAGTCCTGTCCCAACAGAGCAGAACAAATGACGCTTTGTTGCAGGAAGTGGTTCATCTAATACAAGAGGAGTTTGCCTTTGATGGCTATCTAGAGAATGGAGTTGAAGTTTTTGATATGGGTATGTTTATTTTCTTCTTATATTATATCACTGATATGTAAGAATGTTATTAGTAATGTATTTTTCTATTTTTGTTCATTTGTGGAGTTTTTCTTTTTTATTGTTATTTGTTTTTAAACAAGGTAACTTCATTTTAGCATTAAAGGAAATTAAGTTTGGTACATTCTCTGACAAAATTTGTGAGAAGTTCTGTGACCTATACTGGGATGAAAAATTACTGGAGAATCTTTATCAAGTAGTAAATGGAGAAAGAGTTTCACCTCTATGGTACGTATTTTTCAACTTTTTTCCTCTTATAATTCCTTTTAATATTTTTCTCCCTACTTCCTAGAGATAGGGAAGGATATGCTGCTCCTCTTTAAGTGTTTTTACTTGTTTTCTGACATCTGATTATTTCCCTGTCTGCATCTCCTTCTCCAAAGCAAATAGTACTTAATAATTTAGCAGAAGATATTTCCTATTAAGCTTGTCTGTAACTCCATTGTAGGATAGCTGAATAATGAAGATCAAATATTGAACCTGGTTGAATATGGAACTGTGTTAGAAATAGGCTGTTTAATCAGAAGTGAAATAAATTATTCCTACTGTTCAGCTTAATTATTGTATTTGAGTTCAGTTTTTTATGCATTAGTTCAAACTCTCATTAGGTTAAGAATGAATTTGCTTTGAAACATCTCACTGTTCCAATCATACTTAAGAACAAGGAAATTAATTTAGCTTTGCTAGAAATATTTTACTTAAACTTCATTTCATTCAGTGTTCCTCCTGACAGTCTTTTGTAAACCTGTTAAGTAAGAAAACACTGGCTTAATTAGTTTCTCATATATTTAATTTCATCTTCAATTACGTATCTGCCAGAAAAAATAATAAAAATATTTTTTGTTTTATTGCAGCATCCAGATATAGAATACTTTAAAAAAAAATCTTATCAAAGGCTACTGTAACCAGCAATGAATTTATAAGTGGGATTTGTATACTTAATATTCTTTGACATTGAAAACAGCTTTTAATTGCCACCTTTTTTGCCTTAAGGATATGAAACATTGTATTTCCCCAATCCTCATGTATTTTCAGCATAACTGAGGCAGATGACTCAAAGTGTGGTGGTGTATTCCAAGATCTGAAGAAATCTGACAGCTTTTTGGCAAGCAGTGATTACACAGAGGGTGAGAAGGGAATTTGTGTCTCTTTGCATGGGGAATCTATCAATTCATAGATTGGTATTTTCAGTGTGTCTTCAGAAAAACACTCACCTTAACACTTACAAACATTATCAATAAATCTGGACATTATCAATGCCTTGTAAGTTTCAGGACGGTTGTTGAAGTTATACTCATGGAATCTTTATTTGAAGGACTTCACAGTGGACTTTGCCTTTTTTCCTATCATACTTTGTTACTGAAGAAAACATTCCTTCTTTCAGTAGCTGAATTAGAAACTGAACTGGAAAATCCCATTGTTAAAACATGATATATTCATGGGCATCTTGTATTTGATTACTATTGCAGAAGTCTTTAATATTATTATGATAGCCAACATATACTAAAGAAACAGCATAGCATTTCTTAGAGAAGAATAAAAACACATCATATTTAAAGAATTGTTCTTGGTCTTTGTTTTGCTAAAGTGAACAGTCAGTAATTTCTGTGGTAATATCAGAATGGATTTTCTTTTTCCTTGTTAACCCTAAAAGCATCTCTTTGTATTTCTTTTAAGGTTATCTATCACAAACTGAAAGATGATGACAGGAGCAACAGGGGCAACATGTAGTACTTTACAAGGTTCTTAGTAGTTATACAATATTGATATTTGGACATCTTTAGTTTTATGCAATGTATCTCAATAATTACCTTACTCTGTAATATATCTTAGTTACATATTTAAAGTACAGAGAGAAATGAAGATAGTAGAATGTGTATACATAACTACACATGGAAAGAAAAACCTTTCTCCACAGTGTCTCAACAGCTTCAGTTTGGAAAAAAGAAAGGAAAAAAAAGGCACAGACTCACTTACAAATTTCTGTAAAATTATGTTATGAAATTTTACGTATGTCAGTAGTCCCTAGTCTCCTTTCCAGAATGTTTGCAAGAATTCTTACATAAAGCATATATTATTCAATCTGTTTTTAAATTTGCTTACTTTTCTGTTTTGAATAAATTTAGATTGGGTATTCTTTTGAGATCAGCTTATCCCCCTTGCTGTTGCTTAACTTCTATGGCAAAATTTATGTTTGAAAGCTTGCTCTTGGCTGCTGCCCTGCTAGGTTATGATTTTCTACTTTGGCTCAGAATGATGGCAAATGTACAGCCAGACTTTCCCCTGGGGTATGTGACAGCTATGCACCAGTAATTCGAGTCCATTTGACTCCAAAGCTGGCATATCAAAGCCCTGGAGGATTTCTCAAGTGAAAAGGGAGACTTGTGGCAGACATAAAAATGCCTGTCAGCATCACTCCAACTTTTGACTGTCACCACAGTCCCTTGAGGTTGGTAGTAGCTGTTATAACAATAGAGAAATCCCATTGTAGCTCAAGGAAATGAGTCCTGTAGGAGTAGAAAGCTTAACATGTGTCCCCATTGGCTATGTCAAATACTCTTGCCCTCTCTGCATGGAATAAAAGCTTTGAGACCTATATATGGAAGAGAACTCAAGAGCTAAGCTTCTTATTGATATGTGCACAGGTCTGGTATTTTTTTTTTTTTTTTTTGCTTAGAAAGTCCTATATTATGCTTTGTTTAAATGCTTGTTTTACATGAATTTTCTAATTTTCAGGAGTTTACGGACCAAAGCTTGATTGTTCTGAAATGTTTTTTATCTTCAATATTTTACAATGTGTAGTTGATAAAAAGCAAGCACAAAGCCCAAAGAAGAATGTTGTACTGTTAGAGGACATAAGTAATCTCATAATTGCATTTTCTAAGTGTAGTGTTTAACAAAGGATACATTACAGCGTGACTATTATTTCTTCTTTCTGACCTCCCCCTAAAGGAGAAGGAGAAGCTACCTTTGACATGAAGGATGAGCTTATGATAAATACATCATTAGCTGAAATGAATTTTAATGAGGCGCCCTCAGATAATTTCAAAAAAGAGTCAAGTCTGCAGAATACTATTCCTATAGAAAAAGATGGACAGTGTTTGCAAACCAATGGCTACCATGTTGGTCCAGACTTTGCAGAAGAAAATGCAGAGCCTGAGGAAGAGACTGTAATAAAGACAGCTGAAAACAGCTACCTTGTGCCTCCCAACCCACCTGATTTTCATGGCTGTAGTCCTGGTTGGAGCAGTGCATTTTATGGAGCTGAATGTTTTGATTCAGAAGTTCATAGTTACATGAAAAACCTTGGAAAGCAGAAATCAAATGAATCACAAAGTATAGATGCTAAAAAAGTGGTGAGTACATTGATTTAAAATCATTAAGATATCTACTTACTGGTTGAAAGTGTGACAGACTGTGTTGCATTTTAGTGAGATTAAACCCCCTTTCTTCTCTTAAATATTCCCTCAGCTGTATTTACATAAGAGGTCTTTACATTTTACATAAGAGTAAAATGTGATATTTTTAATAATATTATATTAAATTTTCCATCATATAATCTTTTGTTAAAAATGCTTTTTAAATACCTTGTTATGGCAAATTCAACGGTAGTTTAAAATGTCAGCTACTTATTGCACATCTATTTTTTCTTTTACTACCCTACATCAACAGCTTCAATCTCTCTGCTGACATTACTATAACACTAACATTCTGTGAAACCCAAAATATTTGAAAAAAAAATGCTAAATCATAATGCTCCAATTGCACCAAAATTTAACCTTAAGCGCTTAACGTGAGAAAAGAAAACCTTCATAAAACTGTTCTATTTTTCCAAATTTCATCAGTCATGGATGTTTCAAGTTTTTATTTAGAAAACAAATGGCATCTTTAACAATTCATAAATGCTAGTGAGAATATTGCACTGTCTGATCCAAAATACTGAAAAAATAGAATACACTCAATGTGAAAGCACAAGGAGTCTTCTGCCGGAGCTGAAGCTCAAAAAATAATTGTTTTAGTAGCTAATTTTCATTTGTAAAATCTAGCAGAGGAAACAAATATCCACTCTTCAGGCCAGGAGGATTACAGGGACTGAAGCAAGGCTGATAAGTGAATAGTTTGAGCAGGAAGATGGTTTAAGTTGCTGGAGGAAAGTTCTGCCTGCCTTGCAAGGTAGGCAATCCATCCAGGAGTGCTCCATCTCAAGCCTATTCTCCCACATTTAAACCTGAAGCAGCAGCACAAAATGCAAGCCATTTATGGGTCAAAGATGACACTTTCAGATGTTATGAAAACAAATAATGCTTTACTCTGTAGGTTTTAAACATAGTTCTTTGCAGTTCTAAAGCTCTGCAAAGGTTCATCTGCATTTCAAAAAGTTTGATTTTTATTCAAAATCACATTAATAGCTTGAGGTTTGCTTAGTTTTCTCTTAAAACTTGCAGTCTTTTTTCCTACTTTTTTGCATCTTCCCCCACATCTATATTGCTCCTTCCACAAGCTACTGTATATCACCTGCCTCCCATCACCTCTGGTCCAGGAGCTGCTGATTTAGCTCTCCTTCATACAGAACACATCCAGACAAATCAGTTCAAGTCCTTGCAGCACAGCAAGAATTCAGCTATGAAAGTGGCTGTTTCTCCAGAGGGATATCCCAGTCTGCTATCACAATAAGTTTGGTTTTTTTTTCTGTACTCTGATAAGCTTGCTTCCAATTCTCTGCAGCCCCAAGCCTTCTCCCTTAGCCTTTGCCCTTTTCTTCTTTGCCCGCATAGTTTTTCCTCTAGATCTCAGAAGTTACCTGTCACTCTCCATCAAACTTCTCTGAGTCCAACCTGTGACTATAAGGTTTCTAGCAAAGGTTTTTCATATTCTGCTTGCAGCTTTCCCTCTCTCATTCCTTTTCTCTTTTTCCTTCCCTTCTGCCAATATTCTACATACTTTCAGGGAACCACTCTTCAGCATGTAAAAAGTCATGCTTCAGAACAGTTTGAAAATTACAAATTTCCCATTTAAACAAAGCCACTCTATGATTACTTTGTTCCCTAGACTAAACAACATTCTATAGAAAAGCATCCCATAAAGTTAAATGCACTTCAGAGGATGCAGATCTTTATCAAATAACAACTGAATGTATGGCTGAATCAAAAAATGTTTCTATTCTAGACCTATAACATGACTACTGACTTCACTGCTACTCACTTAAGTAATTTAAGGGACAAGTCACTTCCTCAAATAGCCATCAGATTCCAAACATTAGGAAATAGCCACTCTTTCTGATTTCTTTTGTGTGCACATGTGTGTGCGTGTGTGATTATGTTCTTTTAATCAGCATCTTGTTTTCACTTTAACTGTTGAAATAAAAACAAACCTTTAAATAAAAGCAGGCTGTTTCTAATTCAGAATCTTCATAATAGCTTTCCTGTGCTTTCACTATTCTCTATATGGTGACTATGTAAATGGTAGTTCTTTTAAAAATCCACAGGACTTTTTGTGACTTACTGCTAATGAACCATGGTTTTAAACCTTTTGAGCTTTTGTGAAAAACAGTGACAGATTTTTCACAAACTCAAATTAGTTTCTAGTAAGTCCATCCCATTAAGGCTAACCTATTTACCAATCTGTTGTTTGAAATGTTAGCTCTGAGCTATGTGTTTTCTGATCACTCTGCTTGTGGGAGTTCTGTCTTCTGCATTCAGTGAACTTATTCCATTTGAAATGCTGTTTCATGTAACTGGGTCAATGATAGCTTAGGACCCAAATGCAAAAGCCAGCGCATTTAAAAACCCCGGCACACATAATGTTAGTTGTTCCATAACAAGTCAGAAGCTGAACCCAACATGGATGGCCCATTTTTCATTGATTGGTAAAATAATGAAATCTTTGATGTGCAAACAAGTAAATGTTTACATTAAACTTGATCTGTTATATGTGATAAGCAGGAGATACTTTACTGCTTAAATTATATAACAGTGGACATTTCAGCTTTCTGTTTTTCTTAATTATATAAAGCAGATAAACATAAAATATGTAAACTGAACTTCAAAATTGATGTGTCCTTTATTTATAGAGTAGCACTCCTGACTGCCCTCTGACTTGATTGCATAATATAATGCACCATACTGATCTGGAAATGATTGCATTCAGTCAGACATTCAGTTCTCCCTGCAAATCCAGGTCCATTGCTTAACAGAGCATTCCTGGGGCGTACACTGATTTCAGAGCTCATTGCTTTGAGTTCTGGATGCCTTCTGAGTGTCAGGCTTTTTTTTTTTTAAATGCTCTTGAAAATAACCAGATAAGTGCAATCATAAAGCATATTTATATAAGTGGATTCAGACAAATTTAAATGCTGTCTCATCACACACACACCAGCTATAGTTCATAACATGTAGAACTATGATGCACCTAATGCTTTTCTGGGAACAGGTGATGTTTTCTGTAATTTTCCTGTATGCACAGGTGTAGAAGGCATTTTTTCTTGACTAATATCATATTCTTGTCTATTTGGTTGTTCATTTTTCCCAGTAAAACTCCACTAAAACTTCAGTTTCCTACCAGAACTTTGTATTTGCCTTTATGAATAGAATCCTTTCTCTCTCTAAATAGGAACTAGAACAATTACTAATGATGGAGACCAAAAATTACAGAAAGACCATGAAGTTTTACCAGAAACTATTGCAGAAAGAAAGAAGAAACAAAGGTAAGATTACAGTAACTTGCCAGAAATAAAATCATAGAATGGCTTGTCCTTCAGGACTTAGTCCTTCTCGTAGGGCTGTTCTCAATGAGTTCTTCTCCTTGTCTGTATACTTATCTGGGATTGCATCCACCCAATTGCAACACCTTGCACTTTGTCGGGTGTCTGGTATGTCATTTAAGGATTTTTCCCTGTATATCAGAATAATTGCTGTTTTTATACTTTGTGTGCTTTCAATTCAAAGGTCCTGAAACTAAATCTATGTTGCCCAAGTTGAGAGGACAACTACAAGAGATGAAATCAAGGGTGCAGTTTCTTGAATTGGTGAAGAAGTATGTGCAGGCAAGTCTGACTTTATTTTGCTTTGTTGCTTTTTTTTTTTTTTTTTTTTTTTGTAATTTCAACACTGCATCAGTGTCCTTGGCCACTTAAGTCATGAGTGTGAGCTGTGAAGTGGTTTGTGCTGAAGTGTCAAATTAACCATGGGAGCATGATTAAATTAAAGATAGTTGATACTGGCATTATTATTTAAAAAAAAAAAAAAAATTAAAATGCTATTTGGCTCTTGATTGAATAGGGTGTATTTTGCATTTATGCTATAATGCAAAAAGCATCTATTTTCTTGTGTTTTATTTTTACATGGCTTTGCCTCTCTAAGCAGATAATGTATGCAGAACAATGGGGTGTGGAATCCAGTGTACTTCCTACCATCATTCACTTCGGGAGAACTGACACCATGGATGTGGCTCCTACAGATGAGTCATCAATGCTTGTTTACTATAACACAGAGAAACACAAGTGCAGTAATCACAATGGAATAAAAGTTCTGCAGGCTGGGACACCACTTGGTTTAATGGCTTATTTATATTCTAGGTATAGTGTGCTTTGTACTTGCATCCTTAATTGAGAGGGGGAATAAGAATATTTACTAAAAAAAAAAATAAGAAAATCTGTGCATGTGATAAATCTTGGTTACTCAGCACTACATAAATTATCCTTTCTTGTATATAGTTCAGTGTTATTTCTGTGCATGTTTATTTGCAGAAATGGGCATAGAAATGTCAAAAGACAATCTTACAGGAAATAATAAGCCCAACTGCTAACTTTGAGTTTGTTTAAAACTGAAGCAATTGATACTAAATCGAGAATTAATAACTTTAATCTTTATTTATCCTCCACTTATTTGAAGTTTAGCTCTAACAGTTGCCATGGAAACATGGCTTTGTTATTTAATAATTCTTCAAAACATATAATTTGAACATTCTTACTAATGTGGTCTAGATGTGAAAATGTACAGGTTCTGCTTTACTATCCTTGGAACTGATAAAGATTGCAACCTTGTCTCAGGGCCAAGGTTGGGAAAAATATGTCCTTTAACCCTCAACTGAGGTGAGAACAGTATCCTTCTAAGGTACCCCAGTAGTAATAGCATGGAGTACCACATGAGTCTCCATCAGTCTCCATTTTCTTGTTTAAAATATATACCTTTTATGCTCTTATAATAGAAATCTTAAAGTGGCATCAACTGAGATAATTGAAACAATGGCATTAAATGTGCTCTTCTGCTGAATACAACTTCTGATTATAATAAAAATGTCAAAAGTTCTCCACAAGATTCAAAATAGAGAAGTTTCTTTTAAAATCAAATTATGATATTACTGTGGACAATTAAAATATTGATGTGTAAAAAGAGAACAAAAACAAACCTAAAATTTCTGTAGAGTTTGAGAGACTTAAATCTCTGCTATTGATATTTTGAAGATTTTTGCCATTGCTTTACATGAGAAGAAATTGTGTTCTTGCTTGTCTGAAGCTTTTCTTGTGCTTCACAGAAATGCATTTTTAGAAGGCTATGTGCAGCAGTTTCTCTACACGTTTCGCTATTTCTGCACACAAGAGGAATTTTTGCAGTTTATTCTTGATCGAATTAGCAGCACTTTATCCAGGTACAGTAGTTTCCTATGAAAAATACTATCAAAGCACAATTGATTTCCCCCCTTCACTCCCCCTCGCCCTCCCAATGGCAAATAGCTGTTTCTGAAAATAACTACTTAATTAAATTCTGTTTTTGATGTTCGTTTTTGTAAGATTCTGTTGGCATGTGAGAGTGAAATTGGAGCAAGTGCTATATTTGGCAATATGCTATGCTTTAATCTTCTGGATTCTGAGTCTTACTTTGCCTAGTTGTTCAGTGTTGAGTTGTAAGTACAATGCCAACTTTGTTTCATAGGGTCATGAATTCTGGAGACATGAAGCATAAGATAATCCTGTCAATACTACATCACTTACAGACTTTCCAGCATTTATTTTTAAGTTGGAATTGGGTATCAATACTAATGCAGTAATTTTTATTTTCTTCTCACTAGCGCAAGCCTGGATCCCTCCTCATCACTTACCAAAATATGTAACCGCAGTTTCTACATCCTGCAGGCTTGGATTGAAGACTGCTACAATGTAGACTTTGCAACAAATGCGAGCCTTTTATGTACCCTGAAAGAATTTATTGCTTCCAAGGTAAAGCAGAAACTTCAATGGAAGCTTCAAATAAAGAAAAAAACATATATATGGTTTATGTATGGTGGTGTTGTTACAAAAAAAGATCTGTCCTTATTACAGTTAAAGTACAAAAAAGACAATACTGTTTTTGACAGCTGGTTTTGCTGTTTTTGTGCAGACCTGAATCCTATAAGTATTTTTTGTCTTGCTTATAATTGATCAGAAATTGTGTTCGATGTTCTATTAGCTTGTTTTGTGTTTACAGGTTGCTCCATTAAATGGGTATGGTGAGCACTTTTTGTCATTGCTTGAGGATGCTTCTGCCAGGAAAAGTGGAAGTTCTCAGCAGTGCTCCAGTATGGAGAAAGGTGAAGAGGAAGAGGAGGAGGACAGAAAAACATTACACTCCATATGTAAAAAGCTCTCAGAAGATATGTTCAGAAAGGTATGTCCTGTCTTTAGACTGCACTGCACAGAAGACGTTTCCATATACTGTTTTCTGACTAAAAATATAGAATATCCAGCTCAGGGTCTACATCCTGGTTTAGTAATATTTGTATACTTCCATTTTCAGTTTTATTTTGAAATAAATTTTATTTTGAAGCCCAAATAGTTATAGAAATATGGGTTTTATTTTAAGTCTTAAACACACTCTTATCAACTGTTTCAGTAATAATAGATCAGATCATCCAAATTTTGAGAGGAGTTGAAACTCTTTATTCTTGATACTAGAGTGTGACTCATAGATACTTAAAACCTTTTTTTTTTTTTTCCTACTTGTCAAACATTAATACTTAGTTATATATATGTGTAAGGCTATAAATACAGGAAAGTAGTCTTGGGGGATGTGGCATTTCTTTCTAGAACTCTAGAAAATTTGTAGCAAAAACTTACCTGAGCTCTATTAACTGGTTTGTATAGTCTGCTTCTGAAAGGTAACCTCAGAAGCTGGAATATACTATAGACTTCCACTGAAAAAAGATCTTTTTGCAAAGTGACCAGAATGATACGTGAAAATTAAGTGTATAAATAGTGTTCAAGTTGAATTTAGAATCACATTCTTGATAAAGCTGCAGAATTCCATGGATTATATTGGGGATTCTGTCAATGAAAGGCAAGACAAACAGGGAAAATATGGATTTATTTTATTGTTATTGCATCATAATGATACTGAAAGCTGAAAGAAGGAAAAAAATGAAAAAAATGAGTATTCATTTGGGAAGCACTGTTTGATATGAAAGAAAAAGTACAAGAAATACTGAGACCTAAGAAGTGAATATAATGTGTAAAATTTGGGAATATATGCCATTATGTAGCTGTGAGCTTGAATACATAGAAAATTTTAAAATACTGATTGTTAGTTGAGGTCCAGCAGCCTTCTGCTCAAACTCACTGATTCTGCATATTATACTTGCTTAGAATAGAAGTATGAATAAATCAATTCAGGTCTAGCCTTGAAGACGAACTGAAGAGTTTTGTCTCCACAAAGGTATTTCTCAGACAAAACATTCCAGATGGTTAAATCGAGGGGAGCTTATGTTGGCTTTAGAGAAGTTGTAGCTTTACGTATTTTTTTCTACAGAACTTTAACTGGAAACTTTCCAAAGGTATGGGACCAATTGCACATTATCAGAGAGAGCGACTGTACACTATTTCATCGGTTTTGCCAAAGCCATGCTATAGCAGTTTTACAGAAGAATTCCCAGTCTCCTTTGCTAAAGCAGATGAAGTGGGACCATATCTTTTAACAGAATACAGTGTGCAACAGCTTTGTTGTCAGCTGACATTACTGCAACAGGTACAAAGGACTAGGCTTACTTGGAAGTACAAATTTTATCTATCTTCTTGATATATACTCAGCCTCCTCTCTCTACCATTTCCTACCTCATTTCAAGCTTAGTAGGCTTCCACTGTTTCATTATTCTTTGGATAAAATACTTCATTTTTCTCTTGAAATCTCTACAGTAAAGTGCAGAATGGGCTAATACTATTCTTAGGCAGTGATCCATCTGATAAATTTGCTGAAGAGAGAACAAAGAAGAATGAAAAAATAGATCTGCCATTTTCATCCTCTAACATTTTAAAAGAATTGCTGGATCTGAAAACAGATACATCTTGTTCTTTCTGTTTAGGAATTATTTCATAAATGTCATCCAGTACACTTTCTGAATTCAAGAGCACTTGGTGTTAAAGATAAATGTGTTGCTGTACAGAAGTAAGTTTCTTATTTTAATTGTTCCTCTGTTTTACTCCTGTATAACTTGTTGTTGCACCTTTAATATATCCAGGAAGAGAGAAATATTTAAAATATTTCATATTTTCTTTTGACCAAATAGATGTTCTGGCTACATAAGTTTCTGAAATTCAGGAGAGTTTGTTTATATATATGTACCTCTGCATGTATTCAAGATGATTTCTTTAAAATCTAAAATAGATTACACCAAATTATTTCTGAAGACTTATACTGTGGGGGTCGCTTCAGACATTTTTTATTTTGAGGGAAGAAATTTCAGCATTACTGAAACAGTCTGCTTGATAACATGTGTGAATGTGTCTGGGTAAGTGTGATAGAGATGATCATTGTAATCACAGAATAGCTGGGGTTGGAAAAGAACTCCCAGGAAGAGCAGTTCAGCCCAGCTTCTTGAAGTAAAGCTGGCTAGAGCCTAATGTTAGCGTGCAGTAATGTTCTGAATGTGGATGGACACTCCACAACTTCTCTGTGCAACATTCATTTTGTACTGTAAGGTAGATGAAGTATCAGTCTTCACAGGTACAAAAGAATTTTCCTTTAGTAGTTCAAATGTAGAATGGTCACCAACCTATTTAACATGATTTGCTAAATGGTAGTTAATGTTTTCATCTGGTCACATGGAGCCAATTATATTAGATTTATGCTCTAGTTCTCACATACTCAGTGGATTCAGATGATTTCCAATAAGTGCTTGTTATAAACATTGCCTGTAGTAGACTTTTATGTCACGGGATCCTTTTTTATGGATTGTTGAAGGGCAAAGCTTAAATCAGCTGGTTTATACTGATTTGGGCTTCAGACATGGGGTAACAGTGTGAAGCCACAATGTATCAGGTTCAATTTCTTTAATGGTAGCTAGTTTTAGATAAGCTGAAATTACTGGCTGTTGTTTCATTAGTTGTGTTTCTGGCTGAACAGTTTGTTTTATTTGATTATGATGATGATGTCTTTATAAGCAGAAATGTCTGCTGCGTGTAGTTTTTGTGTAATCATATATGATTATCTTGTAATTACAAGAGAAAGTAACATAGCTCCCTATGTAAAAAATATCATAAAGCCAAACCTACAAGCACTGCAAAATTATTGTAAATGATTAGAATTTGGTATCATTCCTTCAGAATCAGAATTTTCCTTGAAAACCCAAATCAGAATGACTTATCTTTGTCTTTTCTTCTATCTTTTTATAGAGCCGTTTCTACTGAGGAAGTTTCCTTTAAAGTCTGTAATCTATTTCTATCAAAGTGTATACAAGACCAGTACCTTATACAATTACTAAGAAATGCAGACAGTGTCAGCACCTGGGTTGCTGCTGAAATTGTAACATGTCATACATCTAAGGTTTGTTGTTGTTTTGTTGTGTTATTATGAAATATTTATATGTTAATGTGTATACATATGTATTAATGTTTAATGTATGAATATGTAGAGAGTCTGCAAGAACTCTTTTGAAATGCGCCTATGAATCGGCAGTTATCAACTTTTTTCGTTGTCATTGTGAGCTTCTGTTTTGGAGGCTTTGCAGGTTTTAAAACCTGATAGGAAGTAAGAAGGGGGTTCTTCTTACTTCCCCTGAGGAGAAAAGGTAAAAGATTTTAACAAAGGCATCAGTGAAAGAAAAGACCAAAACAGTGGTGGAGTTACTACAGTCAACAATTCTGATAGGAGTTTCTGAAAGAGACTATCTCTGTCTTCTCCTCTTTTACTTATTTTCAGTCATTTTGTAGATTTATGGTACATTTCAGAAATATGTAATCAGGTTTCTGCCTGGGCAGATACTATTTTTGTTAAAACCAAACAGTAGTTGAATACTGCAATGAATTGAAATCTCAGAATTGCATATACTGCTTATATGCCTTCTTTATAGTTTAGCAGAAAGTCATCTGTTCAACTTGATTAGTATTTTGGCTTCCAAACTGAATAATATCTTAGTAAATGTGTGTCTATTTGTACTAGGCAGCTACCAGTTGATTTCTTTCTAACCACTGTGAAAAATCTGAGTCTGCATCTGCTCACATTTATTTATTTTATCTCTCAGAGGTCATACACTAAACCTCTCAATTTCCTTGTTGCTGTTTCTGTTGGATTATTTATTGGGTTTTTAACAGGCTTCCCTATTTTTAATATTTCTCAAACCACATATGAGATAGAAAATTTTAAACAAATGTTTTAAATCCTAGTGGAATGTATTCTAAATATGTTTTTCTAACAGACAATGTGGTACTGACTGGTCCTATGAAGTCAGTGTGTTTTGACAGCTTTTAAATGTGTATTACCAGTAACAGGTACTGTATGTAAGCATATTTCAATGGGAAGTATTATGTTAGTCTTCATTTTCCTCCTGGAGTTTACTTTTAGTGACTTTTCAGCTTTGTAAGAGCAATGGAACTGAGAAATTACCAGCAATAAGCCTTGGACTTAGCACCTTCCAAGACTTGCAAGGATACTTCATTCCATGGAATCATTAGGCCTATTTCCAATTCCAAGCTCAGACAATATACCGTTAAAGCATATTCCTAGCAAATGACTGAATTTAATAGCTTCTAAATGCACATGAGCTGAAAAAAAAAAAAAATGGTATATCCTAATTATTTTTTTCCAGATGCAGGTGAGCTTGTTATCAAAATTTCTTCTCATAGCAAAGTCCTGCTATGAACAAAGAAATTTTGCTACTGCGATGCAAATCCTAGCAGGCTTGGAAAATCTTATTGTACGACAGTTGCCAGTAAGTTTGGGACTCTCTGTTGTAACTATTTTTGCCTAAAATAATCTTGTTCAAATTTGGGCATTAATATGGGAAATAAAAATGTGTTTTCTTTTATTATAAGGCCTGGAAAATTTTACCTGCAAAAGTAGCTGAAATAATGGAAGAACTCAAGGCTGTTGAGGTATAGTATAAAGTCTTTAACATAAAATATTAATTTGGGATTGAGGAGACTCAAGTTCTAACTAAAGGAGTACCTCTGCAGGATGAAAGCCAAAATTAATATTTTGAATCACAAAGGAGATTTTAAATTATTGTAGGACTGTTGTGTCTTGGTCTAGGTTTGCATTTTCACCTCAGTTTTTCTCAAAACTGTATCCCATGTGACTAAGAATCAAGAGTTTTTTCAAAGCAAGCTATGAAATTAAATACTTTTTCCTGAAGAATTCTACTGGAGTTTTCTGGATGTAGTCTGTACTGAAAAGTATGAAAATGCAATTTTGGCTGTAAACAGGGATTTATGAAAAAATTGATATGCAGTGCTCAGCATTTGAAGTGGAGAACTTCTTATAAAGACTAGCTTTAAATGTAATACATTACTTATCTGTGTACATCTTCTCAATAGGTCTTTCTAAAAAGTGACAGCTTGTGTTTAATGGAAGGAGAAAGATTCAAAACACTTCCAACAATTCCATCAGCCCATGTTTTAGCTATGCATGTCCAACAACTTGAAACTGGAGGATTCACAATGACAAATGGAGCTCACAAGTGGACTAAACTTAGGTAATTATTATAGCTGTATGTAGAATATTATCTAATGAGATAATGAGAGCTAGCGCATTTCCCATCTAGCAAATTAAATCAGTTCAGTCATTTTGACATCAAACAAAGTGGACAGATACTGTAGAAGTAAATGTTCAATGCCTTTGTATTTCCTTTAAACTTTTCTTCTTCTGTCAACCGCAAAAGAAACTCATCTTTTTTTTTTTTTCTTATCATATTTTCTTTCAAGAAATATTGCTAAAGTTGTGAGCCAAGTTCATGCTTTTCAAGAGAATCCTTATACATTTACACCAGATTACAAGCTGCAGTCTTACCTCAGACAAAGAATAACTCGTTTTAAGGATGCAGATATTTCTGCTTTGGCAGCTGACAACTGTGCCAACTTCCATCATATACCAGCAGAAAAACATTCTCGGAAAATCCAGGACACGCTGCGCAGAATGAAGGCAACATTTCAGTAACTATTTAAATTTCATCTGTTCTATTCCAAGTATAGAGTATAAAACAGGATTAAATTGACTTTACTTCCTGAACCAATTCCCAAGCAAATGCTTAAGTGAAGTGACTTTAAATATTGTCTCAGTTTGAAATGGGTATATTACTTAATGTGAAATAGTAAAAAAGCTGACCAATTCTGTGATTCTAATGAAGTATGATTCCTTGGCAAGTGGATAAAGGTAAAAGTAAAGAGAGACTAATTTTGTCACTGTCCTTTTGCATAAAAAAATAATTAGCCTACATGCAAAATATCTGAAAAGTACTGTGGAAGCAAGTTATGCTTGCAGCTTCTGTTGCAAAATTGGCCTAGAATTGTTCAGACTATGTTTCATTAAATGTTGAATATATTTTTATATAAACAAAGTACATTTGTATCCTGTCACCGTGTGCATATAATTCAGGGACACCTCTGCTATCTGTTGCCTGTTGGTGGTTTTTACTTTTATGTTGAGTATTATAAAAACATGTTTGACATAATAACTGGCTATCATTTCATTCAAGCATACTATGAAAGCAGAAGAATACCATGTGAATTTTTTTTTCTTTTGATTTTACTGTCACTGAACTAACCTGTATCCACATGAAAGTACACATTCATATTTCCACGTGAATCTAAATATTACCACTTTGTTGCTTTGCTGCTGCCTCCATGGTGTTGTGAAGAGAGTAAACATGAGTTGCTCTTTTTCTGTGTTTGGTACAAAAATCGCTTTGCCAGTTGTGTATGTATGTATGTAGGCACATCTTTGCTCCTGAGGTTGCTCTTGTAAATTGCAGTGCTCCAGCAGCATTAAATAGAATATAACTGTATTAACTTTGGATATGCATCTTGTAAAACTTTGGTGCTAACGTATTTATAGAGCTTATGCTTACAGGTATCTAAACAGCAATGAAAAGCGATGCTTTAGCTAAAGTTTGTTGAGCTACCCAGGTTCATGCAAGGTCAAGATCTTAAACCTACAAGTTAATTAAGACTACAAATAATTCTACCAGAGGAAACAATAGTAGTATTGGAAGAGAAGTGGGAATGGGTAAGAAACAGATAAAAGGAGCTCTGTCCTGAAAGTGATTTGCTGGAAATGTATTTTAAAAAGAAGAAAAGTTAAATTTTGGGAAAAGCAGATGTGAACTAATTGCCCTGGCATGTTCTAATGATGGAGAAAGATGGGAATGTGCACATCTGTGATATTTTGCAGATTGTACTATTGTAGTTGACAAAAATGCATGTGTACGTGATAAATTGTAGTTTTTTCAATGCTTAGAAGAAAAGATTCTCCTTTTCTCTTGTCAATGATGGCAATACATACCATCACAGGCCTTCTACTTCTCATCTTTCTTAACTGAACACAAGGTCTGTCTGTTCTTTGCGTTAAACTCTTGTTATTTTTTATGCTCATATATTAGCACTAGACTGACACTTGTGCTCTTCTGGTTTAGACACTGGAAAACTCAGCCTTCAACTGGATTTTCTTGCATTTGTTCTACTTTTAAGATGATTTCTTTTGTTACTTATTGTATGTATGTTTAACATGCCATTAATTGTAGCATTCCTACTTACACTTGAGGAAGAAAAATGTTTCTATTTTAATAAATTTGAGAAATGTTTCTCTAGAAATTGCCAAATGTAAAAACATTTAATCGTTACCTCCTGTATTTAAATAATACAGTGATTTAAGAATGTGACAATAACCTTATCAGAAATGAGTTCTCCACCAAAAAATTTAACATTTACTTAAAGCCACGCCTTGCCTTTGAAAGACAGAACAATTTAAAGTAGCGTAAGCTTTACTAATGCAAAGAACTCCACAAGGTTGTTCACGTTATTTTAACAAATATATTTTAGATAGTTGCCATTCAGGCTCTTGACATTGCTTTTGTGGATTTACTTAGCATTTATATTTTGCACCCACATTAATTAGGTCCTACATGTCTCACCATTTTTTATCAAAATCTAAAGAAACTACTACATCTAGAAAATATTATTTTTATTCTGTGACAATAACTGGTGCTATACAAGAACTTAAAAGAACTTCTGTATAATGCTTCAGTGTATCATACTTAATGTTACTATAAATGCAGAGTATTGAGGTATGGTACTACTTTGGGGTGTTTTCACCAAATAAGTATTTAAGTTTTTGTGTTTAGACACCACCCTACAACTACAACAAGTGTAAATACTTACTGGGGGGGGGGGGGGGGGGACAGGGGGAAATCTCTTTTGCAAGGAAATCGGTCTTATTTTGTCCATAAACACAGATGTATGCACATCTTATTATGTGACACAGATTTCTCAATAAAGTTATGTCTAGCATCTGATAGTACTGCTTATTTATGACTAATGTGCAGCAGGATTTGGGATAAACTTTTCTATCTTTGGGGGGAATGTTCTTTTAAAAGAAAACACAGCGCATAACATGTGAAAGCAGCTAGTTCTGTTCTATCTAGTTGGCAGAAAACATTGGCATTAGTAACTGTTTTGCATAAATAAGCGGATATGCAGTCTGTCCCTACGCTTCCATTCCAACACCAAATTACAGTGCATGGAAAAATTGAGCTTATTCTGTCAGACAGAATTACCACCAGCTGTCCTAGTTCCTATTTTTTACATATCCCTGACTCATCTTGGTTTCTGTGGCATTTGTTTTTCAGACAATGACCTGTGGAGTTTCTTCAATGAAATATTCTCCATGGGAGACTTTCTAGTTCCTTGTGCTCATTCCTGTGTGTTGGTGCTCTTCAGTGCACCTTTGCAGGTCTCTGTTCCCAGGATCCTTGTTTTTTTTCAGAACTTCTGCAAGAGTGCTGGAAACCGTGTCCTAGTTACACTAGCTGCATTTGAAAGCAGGTTCCAGGATCCAGAGTTCCAACACTTCCAGTAGCCTGTCAAGAAATGTGGATGGATTCTGTTGATTACCAGGAAGTATTCTATAGAAGTCCAGATCAAGAAACTGGAAAATATGTCATGAATCACCATTGATTCATGATTCTGGCAAGTTTCTTTCCTTGAAAAATTTTCAGCCCGCTCTAAACTTTGCTGTTATGGTTTTCTATATTCTTTCTCTGTTGGATTTGTTTCGTAAGCGTTACTCAGACACATAACTTCTCAGTAAGTGATTTGCAAATGACTAAAATGTTAAGAAATCTGTTTCTAAATAACAAATGAATAAACTACACTTTGAAGAGAGGGAAGATAACAGTCCTTCAGTGATAGGCATATGGGTTGTTTTTTCAGTCCTTGATACTATAGTGGTAGAAAGTCTGTACATAAATGATTTTCCTCTCTCATAGATGCTTAAAAGCAATCCAGTGTATATTCATCCTTACAACACAAAAACTTGCTGCATTCTGTTTAAAGTTTTTTTCTTTTTTCTTCTTACTTTCCTTCTTTTTAAGCAAGTGTCCTGATGTCCTTTCAGTGTCTTTATGCAGAGAACTGAAAGGGGCAAAGAGTGTGAAGATAAAGGCCAAAGAAAACAGGTGACTCCTGAGATTAGTGTATAGATTTCCAGACATCAGCACAGTAACAGCTCTCCATGAAGATCAACAGCATGACAGAATGTCATTACAAAGTATTCGAAGGAACAAGAACGCATAGGAAGGAAAGACAACAGTAAAGAATACTGCAAATACTATATACTAAAAAGTAACCCAATATTGCACATAGTTGTTCTAAAATTTATGTATCTTGTCCTGTGTATAAATTAAAAGAGCTAGGTGCCACAGGGTCTATAAGGAATCATGAATCAGAAAGAGAATGTGAGACAATCAGGTTACTATTTCAAATCTTACTGTGATTAATAGAGAGCAACTAGTTGAAAATCTGAACATAGAAAGCAGTCAAAAAGAAAGTTACTGTGAGGAAAGATAAGAAACAAAGGAAAGGAGATGAGAGAAGCAGGATAACATCAGTTGATCAGCTGGATTTCAAAAAGCGAATTTCAATATGCTCAAAGATTTGGTGCATAAGGTCCTGGGGAAGGGATTCTAAGGCACATAGAAACAAATATTGTTTGTTTCTTACAAAAACAAAAACAAAAACAAAAACAAAAAAAAACAAAAAAAAAAAAAAAAAACCAGGGGGGGTGTCTGTTCCAAAACAGGCTATGTTTTAAATATGGAAACAGCCCATCCTCGTGCAAGGAAAAGAGAACCAACAGAGAAGTTTGACTGCATGGGCTCACCAATTATGTGATGGGGAAAGAAAAAGAAAAAAAAAAAAGGGGGGGAGTACTGAAAAAGGTAGAAGCAGGAGAAGCAAGAAGGGGTGAATTAGCAAGAAAAATAGAAAAGAATAGCACAGCAGATTAGTAATAAAACTGTACAGACAAAATGCTATTGGCAGCAATAGAAAAGCAAAACAGTAAGGGTGGATTCTCAAGAAATTTTGTTACATATAGTTCTTTGCTGAGCAGAAGAGGTGGATAACTGTCAGATGGTGGTAAAGCCGTTTGCTGTTTCACAGCCTGCTCTCTCAACAATGCATGCTGTGATCAAAGTTAATCAGGAACTAGGAGTGAGAATGGGAGTCTATCATGCTAATTTCGATTAAAAAATTGATTAAATCTGTTCTATAGTGAATAAGGAGCAAAATTGAAATAATCTTGGTGGTATTGTACTTTCGATCTAGGGAGAATGTGTGAGTTCCTAGAGAACTAAGAAAGAAAATAGTAATCAAAATTGGGAAAAGGAGATAAGAATAAGTGGAGGGGCAAGGGAAAGAGAGTGGCTTGGGGAATTACATTGTCAGCCAGATGAACTTTGATACCAGAAGAGATACTGAAAAATCTACTTGAAATCTCTACAAGCTTAGAGAGTAATTTTAAATGCTATCATGTATTTGTCCATAAAGTAATTTTTGAAAAACCTAATGGTCTCATTTGTCAGCATAACGGTCCCAATATGTGGAAAAAAACACCAGCATACTGTATGTTTAAGTCTATAAATCTCTTTACAACAGATCTATGTGACCTGCTTATGTATTAGGTTGTTAATATCCAGGTGAATGTACTGTTAGCTGGGGACACAACTAATTAGTAATTTCAAAGACTAATTACTACTGCTTGTTAAATTGTGAAGATGAGGGGGATGTAATAGGGGCAGGGCTGTTCATATTAGAATAGGGCCTTGATCCAGTTGTGTCTGGGATTTTGACTAATGATATGGAGGATGGAAAGGAAAAAGATTAGAACTCAAAATAGTTGTGATAATGATTTAAATTTAAGCTCTAACTCCTATGTTTTGAGGGAAAACTGTGAAATGAAAAAACAACTGCGGGAACTCAAAAAAAGAAACTCTTGGGACCACAATGTATCACAAACTGAATATGAATCTATCTGTACAGTTTTCCAAAATGAAGAAAACAAGAAGAAAAAAGGACCAGAAGACCTGAGATGTGAGAGAGCCATATATGACAGAAGGTAATTATTTTGCTCTATTTGGCACTAGCAGACATCGGCAGTAACAGTTTATAATTTAGGCACTGCATTTAGGAAACATACAGGCAAAACAAAAGAGACTGGAGGATAGCAATTAAAATAGTATTTTTTAAAAACATAGATTAAAAGAGACTCAGAAAAAACTATGTTGAGTAGGACTCAGCGTGTGAAATGTTGCTGTAAAAAGTTTCATGTAGAAAGGAAGAGAACTAGCTTTCTCCATGCTTCGTGAAGTTCAAGGCAAGAGGTATTAATTTTGAAGCAGTGTTGATTGTGTTTCAGTTTTTACATTGGAAAATGTCTTGTTGAGCACTGGAATAGGGGGTACCTGCCTGTAGAATCCCCTTTCTTGTGGATTTGTGAGAACAGCTCAGATCAAATTGTGATGAGTGTTCACACACACCCTCTTGCTCTTGTCCTTGAGAATGTAGAGGGACTCAGCAGTGATCTTCAGCCCTTTCGGTGTTCTCTGTGATGTGGATTGGACCAAAATTCAAATGTTTTCTTGCAATCAGGGAGCATCTTTCATCAATTTATTAATTTCATCACATCCCAATCACAAATTTTCAAGGTTCTTATTACTATTTTTGCACTGATATGCAGCAATAAAATAGGTGTGAGCAGAATGTACATCACTTGAACTCGCACAGGAGATGTTATGGGGGAATGCAGAATTTCCATTATATACTTACGTTAATGCAGTGGGAAAGTGTCTTAATTCTAAAAGCAAAAGAGAGGCGAAAGCCCTCCATGCACATCTGTACGTTCAGGGAAAGTGGAAAGCAAATTCTGTCCATCTTCTCTCACCATCAGGAAAGCCACTGCCACTAAACTACAACTTCTCTCCTTCCCTCGTGCGGCAGTTTCCTGCATGTGAAGTCTTACTACAACCAGGAGATGGCACAAGAGAGCCTTCCAACGTTTCACGACGTACGCGCCGCACTGAGAGCAAAGGTATTGTGAAAAGTGATTGACTTTCCAGGCGACTACGTAAAATCTGCCCGTTAGAAGCTGGCAGATGTAAAATAGAAGAAGCTTTTTGCATCCCGATTGTAAAACTATATGTGTAACTGCTCCCTTTAATCCTATATCTTTAAATCTTAAAGTTTCCTTCCTTTGATTTGTGAAGCCTGTCAAGGGAAGTACACTGCTTTGCACTGAATCACATATTGTTAGTGTAGCTAAGCATCTTACCTAACTGTATTCCTGCCCTTCACCACTGTATGCTCACTTTTCCCTTATTATTAAGCTGAGGGGGAATGTCAGGACGTCTGTGCTCCCCTGCTTTGGTGTGCAGTGGAGGCAGAGGGTCAATTGTCCTCTGTTGCTATAGTTCTGTGTTATTCAGAGTAAGGGTTTTTCTTCCTCAGCTAACAGTAACGTTTCCAGAGTACGTGATGTGATTGGAATAAAGAAAATACGAAGAAACAGTGTAACAGTGAGAAAGATAGAAAAGGGGAAGAAATAATTAGAAATACAAAATGAAGAGCTTTGAAACCCATTTTTGAAATAGGTAACATTCTCATTAATATAAAGAAGCTGGCTTTGGAGCAGTACAAAGATCTGATTTGTAGTAGATGAATAAAGAATCAGTAAAATGTTTTCACTGCACAGACCTATGCAGCATTGTAGAACATAGACCAGGATGGGCACAAAGGGGGACAGATGACCCAGGGTAGCCAGATGTGATGTCTTATTCCCCTGTTGACACTGTCATGCTCAAATGCTAGCTCTAAAGTTAAGGGGGAAAATAGACTAATTGTGTGATAGCTGAAAGTGAAAGGTTACTTTCTGAAAGTGATAGTGCAGCTGTATTTCTTGAGAAGGAATTCGCAAGAAGCAAGAAGTGAAAATATGCATGAAATGTTCCATTATCAGTTTTATATTAAGCAAGCTGTTAAATTTAATTACAGAAGTTACCATCATGGGAACATTTATTCTTCAGCTAATGCTGACAGAGAAAAAGCCCTTGATGTAAAACACCTGAAAAAGCTTCTCAGATTTTGACAAGATTTTAAGGTATTTCAGTGTTTTGTTTTTGTGGGTCTTGATCAGACTGTCAGTCCAAGTAACCCGAATAGTTGTTAAAACCAGTAGGACTCAGGAATTTATGTATACACATTATTCTGCATAGGTGTATTTTGTATTTCTGTATAATTCATAGTCCTAAAACAACCCAGATGCCAAAATATTTAGTGGACCTAACAATTAATTCCCATCTATTCTGGGAGACAAGATCATTTCTAGAGTCCCTTTTCATGCTATTTTATTTTTTTTAGTAGTAGTTCAAAAATTATCCTTGCTAGGCTATGAAGAATTAAACCAAGTCCAAACTTTTGAGCAGTTTTGTCTGAGAATTGTCCACAGAGAGGTCTCTCAGTTACAGTACGACAGCAGTGACCACTGAAGAAGATTTGCATGCCTGAAACTTGGCTGCTTTTCATCTCTAATGGTGGTTTTTTTTTGTTGTTTTTTTTTTTGTTTTTGTTTTTTGTTTTGTTTTTTTGTAGTTAGAAATAATAATAACGATAAATTTGCTGCTGGTAACCCTGCCTCTGTAGCAACAGCAGAGTGTGTTTAAATACAGTTCTAATTTGTAACAATTTTGAATTCTTCTTTAATCTGGCTAAGTTGGGTAAGAGCTTACTAAACCAATCCAGGTTAAGTGTTTTCTTCCTGCAGAACTTGTATTTTTTGAAAGATTTCACTGGCTGTTCAGATGCTGGTAGCAGCCTTATGGTAAGGGGTCGTAAGAGCTCCCAGCATTTTGAGCACTGTATTGATTTATATCAGTTCCAAGCACAAAGAGAAATTTAATTTTTGTCTATGCCTTGTCACATTGTTTATTCCAGGCTCTCCTGGTATTTCTGCACGTATCGTCTTTTCATTCCTCATGGAAAAAATAGTTTTTCTTCTGTCAGGGAGGAAAGAATTGATGATAAAAAGGTTGCTTAAAGGCCACTTGTAATGCTTTTACATCCTAAAGAGTGATCTCTCAGAAATAGCAATGGTTGGATGAACATGCCAGGACTAAGACCACATACGTGGCACAGCAGCTGCCAGCAGCCCTTACTTCACTGGGCATCTCTCAGAAGGAATTATGCGTGCCCATAGATGAACATGCAGATGAATCCGGCATGTCCTTAGTTGCCTTTTTACTGTTTCATTGCACCACCACTACACTACTCCCAACGACCATGTGCTCACTCTACTCCAGTCTCACAGCACTCTCTGTTGTAACAAGAAAGAATAACCTACTCTTAGAAAATAGCAGTTCCTTTGGTCTTCTGCAGCAAGGGAAAATGCTGGCAGCCTTCTCCAGTACCTCTTCTGAAGGTGCTTGGAAGTTACTTTCCCTTCAGTTCTTTCAAAGCTTCAGCGGGAAGTAGGTGTCTCAGAGCACAGTCCTTCAGGTTATTCATCTGGCTTAGTAGGGAATTGGCCTTTGTATTGGAAGATATAGAAAAGCAATTAGTGCTCAAAGACTGGGCTGCTGAACCAAAATATCTGCTATCAGCTGCATAGTAGGCATCCAGGTAGGACTGCCTTGCTCTGCAGAACCTCCTTAGCCTGAGACCAGTGTCGTGTAAACACATTTCTAGAGGGCTGCCTGTGTAAGCACTGTTATCTTGGTCCCATCCTGTACCACCCACACCACTACAAAGCCATAACTTGGCCACTTTGAATTCAGTGCCTGCTTGCAAAAAATACAGTGGTCTGTGTCAAGTGACAAATCTCAACTCACTGTAGTTTCCCTGAATGCTAAAATGCTTCTACATCAACTCCCACAGGATGGCTCTGCCTGGGCTGGCTTTTGTCATTACTATCCTCAGTCTCCTTTGGCCTTCGTGAGCTGCTGTCATTTATTTTCATGAAGGTCTTGAGTCCGCAGAGAGAACAACTGTGTTTTGTACAAACAACTGCAAAACTTACTGTCATTTAGTTTGCCAAGCAGATCTTAAGACTTTTGCTAGTGGCAGTAGTGTCTGTGTCTGAGCTCTTCGTCTCTCAGTCTTTGTAGCAGCAAAGTGAAGGGACAATCTCTTCCTGCTTATCTCTAACTGCAAAAGCCCAGGGACATCAGTGTAAGCGTTTTTGACCCATTGGCAATATCACCTGATTCTAAACACAGTATTTCTGAATCACACTTTTGCATGAGGTTTTCAAACAAATGCCTGATGAATAATGCATAGGAATAGAAAGAGCTTAAGAAATGTAGATAAAATTAAACTAGCAGCTGTTAAATATTGTAGAAATCGTTACATTCAGAAGTCATCTGCCATCTATCAAGGATGCTTATACAATTTATGTATAATGGAAATGACATTTGGTTTAACCTTGTCACAGTATAATCAGTTTGTGTCTCTGAGCGCTTAACAATTTACACCATCTTTTGGCTGTGACATTCGCCTCAGTAAAATGCATTTAATGAACCAGCAGTGTGTAAAGATGTAATTTGTAGCTCAGATGGTGAAAATGTTTTCAAATTTGTAAAGAAATGATGTGACAGATGCACCAGTGTTTTTCTATTTTATAGAACACCATGTATCACATATTCTTTTTCCAATCCAACAGCTTGCCAATGCCTTTATTATTGACAGAACATAAAGCTGGTGAAATCCTACAGATAGATTTTTATGTATTTTTATACTTATAAACATAAATATGTATTTATTATATGCATATATTCAGCATATATAGTATCATACCATGTATGATTTATACTTATATGCATATATATAATACTACGTAGGGGTAAGGGATGAAAATAACCTGGGCACAAGGGACTTACATATTTCCTTTGGATGGGATTTAATGATGGCTAGATCTAACAACCATATTCTGAGGGAATAAGAGGTTGAAGTGTAGATTTTAGGAATCATAGATGAAGATGGTTTGAGTAATGCTTACTGTATTGATACAGGTAAAAAAAAAAAAAAAAGAAGAAAAGACATGAATTTATACTACTAAATTTGAAAACATTGAACTATTTAGATGCAAACTGAATAAGTAGGAGGGGTTCAGTCTTTGATTCCATACCTCACTGACAGCCAAGGAAATAGAGCCTGGGAATAAATTACAGTAACTATGACCAGAGAAGCAAATGCTGAGTCCAAGCAGGACTGGCAGAATAACAGAGCAAGAAATCAAATAGACAGCAAAGCACTGATTTTGTGTACAGGTGGCAGTGGATGGGGTTTAAGTCAGAAATCTGCAACACTGATGGGCAGATCAGACCTGCAGTCACAATTTCTGCAGGTGAGCTGATATCAGACAAGAGTGGGACGGGCAAATTCTAAGGAATAATTATCTTTTTCTGATTGTTTAGTTCAGAAAACTGCTTTATATAAGCAGCCAGGAGCCGGCCTGTACAACCCAACAGCCTTGGCACTTACTTCTTTCTGGTTCACAACTTTTTCCTTCAGCCCCCCCTCTCTGGTGTCTATGCTGCGATGCTACAGCCCCAGCAGCACGCAATTCCTGCCTCGGGCTGTCTGGGGAGCACAGTGCTCAGGCCAGAGAAGAGGCTCAGAAGATCTGCTTAGGCAGAGGCTTGTCTGCTTGAAATGAAAAAAGCTGTCTCTCGAAGACCCGCCGAGGCCGGGGGAGAGGGTCCTTTCGCACTCCCCCGGGGTGCATTCCCCAGTGCCATTTGAGGCCGCTCAGCACCATAAATGCCATTTGCATCGGGATAGGTTGCAACAGGAGCTGTAAATCACTGACGGGGGAGCGAACACCTCCAGGGGCAGACACGGCGGAGCCGGGCCTCCTCGAGCTGTGGCAATGTGTGAACGGTATCTTTTGTTGAGGGGGGGGACTGATGGCAATTAGATGATACTTATCTGGCTCTTTGATGTGTATTTATACAAACAACGTTTTCCTCCGGGACTTGAGGTATAAAGGAGTCGTGCTTCCTCACGCTATCCTTCTCGGCAGCTCCAAAACGCAGCAGGATGACCAAGGCCCCTTTCTCTGTGGAGTGGCTGTCCCAGAGCAGCCAGGCCCCCAAAAGTCCCACCCAGGGCACCCCGCACCGATCATCGCCCTCGGCCGCCGGCCGCCGTCTCGCCTCGAGCTCCAGACCCGGACTGAGCGAACGGAGCAAGGAGAAAGGCTCCGGGAAAGGCAGGGAGCCTTCGGCAACACCCCCGGCTGCAGGTAATCGCGGCCACCGGCTCACTCTGGGATGGGAGGGCTACATGAACTGTGTGCCTCTCCCTGGAGCCAGGGAAGGGATTGAGGCGGACTGGTATCCCTCTGGCCTGCCTGACGCTTTTTTCTTCCGTCTCCAGGTGCAGCGGGGCAACCGCAAGAGGAGCGGGGCCGCGAGTGCTCGTGCCCCGAGGAGCCGAGGGGCGGCCGGCGGCTGCGCACGGCGTTCAGCGCCGAGCAGATCAGCACCCTGGAGAGCTCCTTTCAGAGGCATCGCTACCTGGGCGCCGCCGAGCGCCGCAAGCTGGCGGGCAGGATGCGGCTCTCCGAGGTGCAGGTGAGCGCGGTGCGGGGAGCCGGGATGGACGGTGGGGTGGAAGGTGGCTGATGGTTTAGGAACGGATCTCAATTCTTGCCCCGCTCCCTTTTCCCGCAGATCAAGACCTGGTTTCAGAACCGCCGAATGAAGCTCAAGAGGCAACTGCAAGAGTTGAGACCGGAGCCTTTCTGTACTCCAGCGCTCCCTTTCAGACCTCAGGTGTCCCTGCCACTCACCTACATGGCCCGGCCGCCGCCTCTACCCGGGCATGAGGCTGCCCCGGGGGGCTTTGCCTTGGCAGCGTTGCCAGCACCTGCCCTGGACATCAGCAGTGCCTGCAGAGCACAGCCTGTGGGTTTCTGGGCAGCACCCTGCTTTGTAGGATACAGGGATCCCAGGGCTTTCTTGCTGAGTGTCTGACCCGCTGGTATGGACTGTGACTAAGGAGAATTTGCACTAATATCTAATAACTGTATCTGGGCTGCCCCTGCCTGCATCTGCCTGCTGGAGTTCTGGTGCAGCTCTGAGCAAGATACTGATCGACAATCCAGATCATGGACTTCAGGCCAAGCTGCCCAGCAAGTTCAAACATAGTGGGGTAAATGGTAGCATAAGTGGAATCACCTAACAAACCTTAACATTTTTTCAGCTTTCATCTGAATTGGTCACAAGGACTGCAGAACTATTTATCCTGCCCTGAAAGAGCTCCTCCCCATTGAATGAAGCACAGTCCTTATTCTCTAGTTCTGTCCTGGCCCTAGTAGAGAAAGAATAATCTTGTGTTGTACCTTGCAATTTACTGAGGATACATACAAAAAGCATTAACTTCCCCCATTCCCTTAAATGGCTGTCCTATCTCTCAGCTGCTTCCACTATGGCACTTCAGGAGGGAGCTGTGCTTTTAACAAGACATATAGATATATCAGGAATTAGTTACCAGTATTTACGACTGGGCCTACAAGGACAGCAGAATTTGTAATGAAGACATTGAAATAGCATATAGACTATGATTTTTAGGGTACAAAAAATGGTTTTCTATAAATATATGAAAATACCACAATTTCATGGGAGGCCTCAGTGGACTAACAAGGGCCTACTGCATAAAATAGATCTTGGAAAGATCTTGAATCTTGGGATCTGGCCTTGCAATTTGCTAGTGTCTCAGCATCTTGCATGTGCCTAATGGGGTTTGAGGGTAATTGTCAAAAGAAATGCAACATTTCAAAGCTATTTTTCTCAAATGGCAGTAAAGTTTGTTACCATTGTGCTGTGCACTTTTTGTTTGAGTAATGCTCATGACTGGATAATGTCTGAAGATTTTATTAAAATAAAATTTTAGATTTCAGGCTAGAGAAAGCGTTATGAAAAATGATCCTTGATTGATGTAAGTTGTTGTAAATCTTTCAAAGCTGATTGTGAGCTAACATGAAAAGAGAAATAAACATTTTCATCACTTCAGAGCTGGTCTCTTCAGTTATTAGAAGATTTCCAGTGCACTTGACCATTATCATGAATGGTCGGAAGGTTTGGTGCTAGTCATTCTTGAACACAAATATTCCATTTTTAGACAGAAATCACTCTGTCATACATCCACCTGGTTCAAAGTAACTTGTATGTGCCTCCAAAGGCCACAGCCCTTGATTTTTCTGAGTAGTTCCCATATTTGGAAGTCTACTTAGTATTTTAGTCCATACTGCATTTGTTTAGTCTTTTGAGGTTACTATTTGCTTACAGATACACTGTTAATGTGGTTCTAATGCAAGGGTTTCAGAAAAGCAATAAGGATTTTAGGTGCTATTGATCTTCCTGAGGCTTTTCTAGGAAGATATTACAGTTTAAGGAATTTTGTTAAGAGGAGATTAAAAAAAAAAAAAAAAAAATCTAACTGAATGTTTATTTTTCAAATTCAAATATTATTAAATGACTGTATTGATTTGAAGGAAAAAAAAATGGAAGGGAGAGAAATCTGAAATTCTATTGCTCTATCTCAAAAATCACTGGGAAACTGAGATGTCTCCAAAGCATTCTTCAATTGAGCAGAGACATTTTTGAGATAGCAATACACTCAAGATGGATAAGTATACAAGTTATCTGGAAAAATCTAAAGAGAGTCAAACTGACTATCCCATTTTTAAAGGGACAAATGTGGAGGGGTTAAGTGGTCTTTTAATCATGTTCAGCACAGGAGGAATCCAGACGGTTTGCTCACTCAGAATGCCATCAGAACAGCTCCTGGTGCTGTCTTAGGGCCAGGCCGGAGGCACACAACCCTCGGGGCAGCAGGCTGGGGCTGCTCTAATGCCGGGGAAGAGCCTGGCCCCAACCAAATGGGACCTGGGGGGGGAAGGGGGCGAGGGAGATGAAAGGTCTTAAGGGGGAGAGAACAGTACACTCCTACCCACAGAGGGGAGGCAATTCCTGAGCGTCGGGATTGGCTGGGAGTAGAGGGTGATGGGGATAGAGGGTGATGGGGATGGGATGGGGGTAGGATGAGATTTAATATAAGGCCATGAAAACCTGGCCTAACTGCACCCTTCCACACCCAAGCATGGCTCTTCGGGGTAACTTTCCCCTCTGTGCAAAGGCTTAGAAGAGTCCAGAGGCAAGCACAATGTGCGGTGCTGCAATTTAATCCTACTGAGTCTGTAGAGACAAACAGGGATGTGGAGCAGCCTTAGAGTAGAGGATGCTTGAGGAGTTAATGGACTTGAGTCCTGCGGGCACCCAGGCAGGTCCTATTAGGCTTTCTGCTAGCAAGGGTAACCTGAATGTATGAGCTGCAGAACCTATTCTACCCGCAAAAATCTTCTTTCTTTAGAAGTTAACATTCCAGTGATCTTAAAATACTACAATGGGCCTCTATGCTGGCAGCCTCTGGCTGAAGGCAGGGAAAAAAAAAAAAAAAAAAAAAAAAAAAAAAGGGGAACGGATGCAGAGCGCTCCAGCCCGGGCGGTGCACGGGCCGCTCGCCCCGGGGCCGGCGGCACTCGCGGGCACAGCAGGGAACCCACATTGCTCCACCAGAGCGAGCTCCATTTCAACACCCCTTTTGTGTCTTTAATCACATCACAGCCACCTTCAGGGCAGGAATGATGCCGGCGGGACAAAGCGCAGCGTGCGACCCCCCCCGCAAATGGCAGGGCCGGGTGGCTGAGTTGGGGAGGAACATTTTGGAGCTGGCGGCTCTCGAGGAAGGGGCTGTATAACCTGAAAACGGGACTCCCTGGGGAGGAAAAAGGGGTGGGAGGGTAGAAAGCTGACTTCAAAGCCTTTCTTCCCGCAGTGTGTGCGCAACCTGATTGAATTAGCGCCGCGGTAATGGCAGGGAGCCGGCTGCAGCCCGTGCGTTAACGCCTGTCCCAATTTGGCGAGAGCAACCAACAGGGCAACGGCTGGGAATAGGGCCGGCTGGCCCCCCCCCCCCCCCCGCAGCGCCCAGACACCGTGGAGCCACCGGCGGCACCTGTTAACGAACCAGGTGAAGTGATTCGGAGTTGTGTGCTAATCAGGAGGGATCTCGCACCGCCAGGCCATTATGTCTAATTGCAGCCCATTATCTCTTTCTTTGATACGTAATTAGATGCCAATTAACTTGATAAATCCAACCGAAACGAGGGGGGAGAGAAAGAGGAGAAATCTTTTAGTCTCAGTTCGTTTTGTTGAAAGGTTTTCTCTCTTACCCTTTGTAACTGTTCACTAAGTTTTTAAGCCCCGACCTAATGTTGCTTTGTAAAGGCTTTTGGTGGGGAACTGATCCCGGCAGCGGATTGGAATTCGGGAGGTGAGGTGTTTAAGTTCCCATTTCAGCTCTCAGTTACTCTTCCTGGGCAATCGCGAACAGCTGCGGAGGTGTCACCGGTCCCCGAGCAGCGCGGGGTGGCGTGCGTGGGAATTGGGTTCCTGCTCCGATTTGCACTGGCTCGCACCGAGGCTATCTCGGCGATTTGTCCCTCCGTTGAGCAAAGAGCTGAATGGGAATTCTGTGATAAATCGCTTTTAATGCAAAGCGCGCGTTTGGTCCCACAGTGCTGAATGGGAATAGCTGCAGCGTGTGAGCCGGGAGGGCGCAGCGCTCCGGGTGAGTCAGAACATTTGTTATTTATGGTGTGTCGGCCCGCATTGTTCCCGTGGGCAAAGGAGAGCCTGGTGATGGCCCTGTTAGTGTTCACGGCTGCTTCAAACAGAAAGCATCCATTCCGAAACAATCGATCTCGTTGATGCCTAATTGGCTGTCTAATAGCACTTATCAGGACATCAAACGGCGTGCTGGATAACCTAGTTAGCATTTCCAAAGGGGAGCAGTGAAGGATACAAACAGTGATCAGCGGTCTCACCGCCCCCCGAGCCCTGAGCCCCGCCGAGCGCTGGTGGCCGCTTCCCTTTCCGTAAGAGGCTGGAAGGGCTCCCTCTGCCTCGGGCTTTCACCTACGGAGTTGGCCAGTTAAGCTAGAAATTATTTTGCTTGAGATGGATTTTTTTTTTTTTTTTTTCTTCCCTGATTTCTGGCCATAGTTTCTTACGCTGTTGCGCAAAAGTAGGGGATAGAGTATATATGTTAATAGACTTGGCGCACTAGCGCTATTCTTGGAGAACGCAAGTGCTTCAGCTTCTAGTGGCAGCTCCGGGGAGAACAGAGAGAGGCCTTTCAGTATCTAAAGGCCAACTACATGGAATAAGGGGACAAACTCTAGCGAGATCAGCTGTGATGGGATTAAGAAGAATAGTATCAAAGTAAAAAAGGGGAGATTTATATTGGGTATAAGAAATTTTCCACATTAAGAATGGTGAGGCATCAGCACAGGTTGCCCAGAGAGGTGGTGGGTGTCCCATCCATCGAAACACCCAAGATCAGGCTGGATGGGGGCTTTGAGCACCTGATAGAGCTGTAGGTGTCCCTGCTCATTGCAGGGCAGTTGGACCAAGTGGCTTTTAAGGGTCCCTTCCGACTCAAATGATTCTATGAATCTAGTGTAGTGTGAGCCTCTAGAACCTGGTGCAGGGGAAGCGCCAGTAACATTTTTTTGTTAGCAGATAGAACTCCAGTGATACAAAATTTAAAGTGATACATAAGAATGGATCAGGAAAGAAACAAAGTCTCCTTTAAGAGCCATATTTCTGTAGGAGGTGAGGAGGGGATTTCACTCTGCCCTCCCAGGATCATCAAAGTTCCCAAGTTTCTCAAGTCGGCACCTCTTCCTGGTGGGAGCTGCAACAGCCCCGTGACACCTCCTACCCATTTCCCATCTGTTCCGAGGTTTTGTGGTCTACAGATGTGGCTACCACCTCTCCCGGAGTGGGGGCGGGGAATCCTAGGGAGTTAAACATCTAATTTAATAGACAATTCTAATTAAATAATAAAGCAAAGGTCGTGGATTTCACAAACTTTTAGAAAACAGTGGGACAAGTCAACTGCTTCCCTTCCCTACACCCCCAAATGACATAAGGTGACGTAAGATCTGTTCATGTATGGCACTGATCCAAGTCTTGTGCATGGCTTAGTTCTGACAGTAGGGATGAAGAGTCTCTCCCCAATAGCTGCACATTGTTTTGTGCCCATGGGGTAATTCTGGGCATGGGGGCTCTTGGGTTTGATACAAGTTTTGTCCTGCTGGAGAACCACTGGAGATACCCCTTCCCTTGGGGGAGAACACTGCTTACAGGTGTGTGCTTGACTCAGTATCTGCTGAATACCAGCAGTTTCTGGGTGTCACAGCATTTGGTCTAGGTGAGGCAGTTGGGCTCTGCAGTTACTTTGCAATGAAGCTCTATGCATAACCTGTGGGAGGAAACCTGAGCTCTTCAGATGGGATTTGTTCAGGCATGGAGTTATTCATACTCATGGCTGCTCTGAAATAAGATAGGAATGGTGAGAAAAATGGTGCATTTTTTCCTTTAAAAAGAGGGTTCATGCACAGTTGTACAGGAATAGCTATTAAATCTGGAAGTGATTAAAATTGATGTGCAAATTCTGAGCTTTTTTGGATGACTTGGTGCCTTGGACCTGCAAGGTTTAAGGAGCTGCTAGTTTGGTGGCCCTTTTGAGTGTGTTTCCAAGACAGGGAGGTCTCCAGCTCAGTGCACAGCTGCTTGTGCATCTGCATGGACTTAAGCCAAAGCCAAAATGACAGTTTGGATTCAGTGGTAACTGAACTTCCATTAACAGCTGTGCCCAGCACCCCATAAAGGACAATGCAATCTCACTGCCTGTGCAAGAACAGCCTCTCCCAGCCCTGCTTTAGGGAATGGTGTTGGAAGAGAAGCTCCGGGGCTGGATGGGCTGTGCAAGGTGTTTGCATTGCTCCTGTTCCTGTGTTGTATAGCTCCCCCGGGATCGGGGTTAGGGTGAGGCAGTGGGGCTGGAGGAATCAGTAACGCGATGTTCATCCTAGTGTCCATGGAGTTACGGGAATGCTTGGAAGGATGAAAAAGGGCAGCATGAATATGGTTTTCTCTGCAACACGGGGTGTTTCGGGGGAAGACATCTGGGCTCTGTGCGTTGCTCTTTTTGTACAAAGTCACAAGCCCCTTCCCCATTCCAGCCCGGGTCCCAGCTTTGCTGGGGTGGGACGTGGGGGGGATACCTTCGCGGTGCCCTCCTCGCGTTACAAAGGCATCTCCCTCCTCGGGAAGCGCCGTGTGGGTTGGGGACCGTTCGGGGTTGATGAGGTGCGAGCGCTGCTCACTTCGTGCTTTGATCGCTCTGGTCCAAAGACCCTCCCAAAGGAGGTCAGGGATGCTTTCTGGCTAGACAGGTGGCGCCAAGTTCAAGCTGAGAGAGCCCGCGGCACCGCCGAGCCCCAGCCCGGGTGAGAGCTCAGCCTAGGGGATAGGGGCTTGAGATCAGCGGCCCCCAACCGCTTTTCCCAGGGTCCACTCTGCCGGTGATGCGCCGGGCGGCGGAGCTGGCAGCCGGGAATCGCTCACCCCGCAGCCTTAAGGCGGGCCGGGCGCTCTCAGTGTTGGGGTATCGCGGCCAGAGAGGAAGCGGGTAAAATTCCCGCCGGTCGTGGCAATATCGGTATCTTTAAAAGCCCCTCCGCGGGGCTGGGCCTGCCCGTGCCCTGCCCTCCGGGGGATAGGGGCAGGTTTGCACTTCAAGAGGGTTTCCCCGGCCCCGCAGACACGCTGGAGCCGGGGCCTTGTAGACATTTGCCAGACGTGTGAACTTTCTTCCTCGCTGGCAGCTGTTATCTCTGCTCGATTCCCACTTTGATGTGGCTTCGCACTTGCAAACTAGCCCGCTCGGGACTGAAGCGCCTGTATAAGAGCTGATCGAAGCCGACAGCCCCAGCCCCTCACCGCCATGAGCCAGGCCGACTTTTCCCTGGCAGAGCACAAATCCGACGGGATGCGGCCCCACATCTGCTGCGTCCCCCCTCCCCGCGCCCCCACCTCGCGGGGCCGCGGCCGCAACTCCCTCCTGGCCAGGGCCGAGCCCCGACGGGGGAGTCCGCGACCGGAACAGCCCTTGGACTGTGAGCCCGGCGCGGAGCGGCGGAGTGGGACCTGTCCCCAGGAGCCCAGCGAGCGCTACCTGTCGGAGCCAGGTAGGTGAGAAGGGTGGGAGGAGAAAAAAGGAGGGTGTGGGTCGGGACCTCAACTTGTGTCGGCGCAACGGAGGCGGACCACGGTTGGGGGAAAAGGCTTCACCGCCGCCCCTTCCATCCTTTCGGCAGCCCCTGACGGCGGATGGCTGAGCGCCGACGAGTCCTCGGGCTACGAGAGCGAGAGCGCCGGCGGGGAGCGCTCGGAAGCGGAGGCGCCGTGCGGAAGCCGCGGGCGTCAGCGGCGGGCGCGGACCGCCTTCAGCTCGGAGCAGGTGTGCCGGCTGGAGAAGGCATTCCAGCACCAGAAGTACCTGGGAGCCTCGGAGCGGAGGAAGCTGGCGGCCGCCCTGCAGCTCTCCGAGGTCCAGGTGAGTGCCGGCCGTCTCGCATGGCTGCGCTGAGACGTTCTAGCGGTCTTTGGCTGAGTTCCACTGTTTAATACCTAACAACTTAACTAGCCAGGCCTCGATATACATCGAGTTGTGTCTATCTTGCAAAGGTTATAGACGTTCTTAACGCCCTAAAGTGATTCATCCATAACCCTTCCGCACTCTGATCCTCCGTGCTTGGTTAGCTCTGGCATCAGTCCAACACAGGCAATTAAAGCAAAGTGAGCACGGAAAGGTCCGGTGTACTGCCGTTGTTTGCACTTTGCACTTGTAAGCAAAGTACTGAGCTGTTACTTCCTCGCCCACCATCCCTCCTATTTCTTAGATCAAGACGTGGTTTCAGAACAGGAGGATGAAACTGAAGAGGGAAATCCAGGACCAACAGCACCTCGTATCTCCTGCTCCGCTCTACAGCTTCCCCCCGGGAACCACCCCTCCAGCCCTCCTTTCCGATGAAGGCTTTCCGTTGTCTTTCCACTATCCCTTTGCTACACAGCATCAGAGACTCCTGCCTCTCCCCCCGGTGTCTGCGATGCAGCTCAGCTTCTCCTTCCCCAGATACGATGCTTTTCAAAGCACCTACTGCTTCATGGCAAGCGAGCTGCCGTACTACCATCAACACTTGCTTCCTCTTCATCCTTCTTTCCATTCAGTAATTCAGAATAAAATGGACAATAAATGCCATCCTCTGTACACCTGATAGTGAAAACAAAACATGGCAGACAAACAGGAAAAATTGATGAGTATGATGTATTAGTATAGGGAGAGAATGTATTATTCTCCACTTAGATGGATTTTTTTTTCTGATTTGTAATCTTACATGTTTATTTTTCTAAATTAATTGTAAAGAGTAATATTTATTAATATTTGTACTAATTAGCATTAAAATTTATTGGATGTGGTGCCTCTCAGTCTTCTTTATGCCTCACCTTTTTGAAAAGCTTTATTTTTTTCCCCAAATACTTCTATCTTCTTCCTTTGATTTGCACTTGTGCTGAAGATACTTTAAGCACAGCTGAAAGGCAAAATTATGCTATAGCTATGATGCACTTACAGTTTTGTGCCTACAGCTTTCATTTTGTGCTTGCAGCAGCTGAAAGGGAACTGAAGGAAGAAAAGCCAAAGCAAAAAATTGCATTTGCAAGATTTCCCACTGTGTGGAACAAAATTAAGTTTAGCTTGGACTGGAAATTGCACACCTTCGGTTTTCACATGTATATAAATTGACAGATGTTACCTGTGCACAGTGTGCAAAGGTTTCATTTGTGAACTGCTCTTTCAATAATGGGGAAAAATTAAAAAACTGTGCATATTACCTGGCTTTCCTGCAGTCACAGTGAGAGGGATTCTGTATTTTGTTATGTTTGAGAGCCTGAGCCTTGCCAGCTGTATCATACCATGTTTGAGGCACAGCAAAGGAGGAAGATGAAGGTGTTTTTCTTCTGTATATTAATTGATGTATTGCTGAAAACAGTCTGTTTTCCACCTGAGAGCTCCAACCGTGTTAATCACAGATGCTTGTGCAGCTGATTCGTTTTTTTAACAGTGATTAAATAGTTCAAATGTTCAGTTTAGAGTTCTAAAGTTTTACAATTATCAAAGCCAGTATCTTGAAAAAGATTTAAGAGCATAATTAGAGTTCTGTTAATAGTTGTATTGTCTAAATGAGATTTTAATCTGCAAATTTGGCCTTTGATTCCCCACTGAATGCTCATGGTAATTGCATATTTTGAAATACTCCTTAGTTAAATTGATGCTTTTAGGAGAAGCAGCATTTGAAGGGAGCAGCTTTAGTTTTTTTTTTTTTTTGCTCTAACGATCCTGAAACTTTTCTTTTCCCTTTCCCATTAAGAAAAAGTGGTCGTTCTCAGGATCGTGGTTTTTCCATGGAGGGAAGGGATTAATTAGCACTTTTCTTTTAGAACTTAATGAAGCTTATTCAGTTCTTCTAAGTGCATTAAAAACTAGATTGGTTGCTGCAGTGTAGTCTTAATTTTCCCCTTGTTGCCCTGCAACCCAGGGGCTTCGAGTCTCAGTGTAACAGCCTGGGGGCTCCTCACTTTTGAAATGATATCTAAACCTGATGCCATCTTAACACTAAGAGGTGCAAGGCTGGCAGTGAACTTCCTGGTCAGCAGGGGAAGCAGTGTCTGGAATTTACAGGGTAACTGGTCCTAAGTTGCCATGCTGCGTTTTCTCTGGGTTGTACAGCCTGTGTGCACAGTGGCAGATTAATGCACTTTCTGCCCATTCAGTTCCCGGGCCCCATCTCAGAGCAGAGTCCTGGTGGGGCTGGGAGCAAAAAGGTGTGGGTGCGTTGAGAGAGGGATCTCCTCTGAGTGACAAAGATGGGTTGCACCCCTTCCGCCCTGTAAGGTATGGATGCTTCTTTACAGCATGGTTGGTGATTCGGATTTGGGGTATTACACCAGAGAAAACAATCTGGACAGAAGGTAGGACTGTGGGCAGAAGTTTATCTCCTATTCCTCACTGTCCCTTGTTGTCTGCCAAGAACTGTACATTCAGCTTTGCTCTCCTCAACCCCAAAACACAAGTGGGGTAGTGAAGAACAGCAGCATTGTACAATGGGGTTGTAGGCCATGTTTATCAACTCCTTTTTTATTCATAACCTCTACCTCAAAAAGAGATATTCTATTGTTATTTTCATTGGACAGTGCAAAGTTATTTAGCTTTCAGCTAGCAATCAGGTTAGGATGGTCAGGGGCAAGAGAGATATAATCACACCTGCTGGTGTAGCTCCACACTGATACAGGGAGTGCTTCTCCCTACTCCCTTCCTGTAGGCTTGAATCTGTTGTTCTCTATAAAGCTTGCTTGAGGATTTTAAGGAGCAGTCCCAAGTGTACCTGATGCAAGCCTAATGCTGCACTGCAGCTTGAAGTTATTGAATCTGCCAAGTTCAGCTGAAGCTGTAGATGTAATAACTAATATTTCATGTTTTCAGTGGTGCATTAGAACAAAACTTAGGAACAACTGGAGTGTTTTCAACAGTAGATTTAAATTACAATCACATTTTGCACTGGCATAAAAAATACGATTGACAATCCCCTAGCTTCCTCTTTTAAAATGCAGCTAAGTAAAGAGGAGGTGACTTTAGGGACTGTGCAAAATAGACAGATGAAATACAATATGAGGCAATTTGTGTTTGGCCACAGGGTTGACACTTATTGTATCACTTTTATTTCAATTTGTTTGATGTCATTGACAAGCCTTTTCTTAAAAGTCCCTTGTCATGAACAGCTATCACTGTGTCCTCCATATAGTTCATCATGTAGCTACTGCATACATATAATAAACATTCCCTTTTCTCTGTGAAGAACCGCATGTGATTATAGGTTGTTTTCTGAGAACAAACTCTGGGAAAAGTGTTTCAGTGCAAAGAACTGAAGGCTGTACAAGTTTCAGATCTTCCACTCTCAGTATTATACCTCGAGGCCGTTGCTTCTTTTTAACATTAGGGGAAAAAAATATGAAAAAATAAGTCACACATATATTTAATATAAATAATTACTCTTTAGATATTTGGCAGCTTACAGATAATCTTTGGCATTGTTAACAAGAAGGTAGGTAGGGCTGGAATCTCAGTCCTTTGTGGTCGTTGGTTAAAGTCACAGCTGGGATCACAGCAGAGTATGCAGGCAGTGCTGGGCCGGGGGGAAGCAGCAAAGCTGTGCCTGGCAAAGCTGCCTGTGAGAGCTGCGCTGGAACAGGGGGCGCCAGCAGGGACGGGCTAAGCCCTGCTGGGTGCAGGGGAGCGCTCAGGGTAGAGGAAACACTGATATCCACCCCATGAAGACAGCTGTGTGTCACCGTATCCTGGTAATGGTGATAGGGCAGGAACAGGCCTGAAACAAGGGCTTCTACCCTGGCATCCTGTGTCTCGCGTTTAAATTTCATGCGGCGATTCTGAAACCAGGTTTTTATCTGGGGATAAGAAAGGAAAAATCAAGAACCACCCCACTCCTCTCCGTTCCACGCAGTGATGCACCTTGCTAGCCGCCCTGCTGTCAGACTTGCAGGGTAGCAGCTACAAGACGTGGGGCTGATAACGCTGCTCTGACGGTGTGGCGATTTGGCCCACCTGCGGCTCAGGTGCGGCAGGGCTGGCTCTTGCTCTGAGTGGGATCTCACAACACCACCGCGTGTAGGCATCGTTTTAAGAGAGAGACGGCCAGAAATCTGGTATTTATGAGTCAGTACAAACCTATACAACCGTGCCAGCCGAAGCGAGAATGCCGACTCCCCGCAGTTCTGTGTGGCAGAGCCGTCGGCAGACCCGCCCATCCCCTCCCTCCGGCCCCACGCCCGCTCACCTGGCTCTGCGAAAGGTCCAGAGCCGCAGCCAGCCGCCTCTTCTCGCTGGCGCCGATGTAGCGCTGCTCGCGGAAACTCCGCTCGAGCTCCTGCAGCTGCGCCGCCGAGAATTTGGTGCGGGGCCGCGCGCCGCCTCCCGCCTCCACCTCGTGCGCGGGGCTGCAGCGCCGCGGGGCCGGGTGCGTTATGGGAAGGGAGAGCGGCCTCGGAGGGGCGGCGAGGCGGGTAGAGCCGCACGTGCCGCTGTTGTTCTCTCGACGGCCGGCAGCAGCGGTCCCGCCGCGCGCCCCGCACTCCCCCTGCGCTGCGCTGTTACCCCCGCTGCGGCTGCTCTGCGCCAACCACTCCACGGAGAAGCGGCCCTTCTCCATGATGGTGGGGCTTTCCCCGTTCTCTGAAACCGTCCCGGTGCTGGGGGCAAACATTTAAAGCGTTTTCCGCGGCGTGGCTCTCCGAGCATCAAATGAGGCCGAGAACAAAGGACCCCGTTGAGAGGCCTTTAATCTCCCTCTCAGGTGATTGTTACATCCGCCTAATCTCTGAGCGCCGCAGTTAGCGGGGCTCAAGGCTGCCTGACCTGGCGCCAAGTTCAGCCCTGAGTCACCCCCTGGCCGTACAGCTCTGATAACCACGTTGCGGCCTGAAATGGCCGTTGTGCCCCCGACTCCAAGCACATCGCGATTTTCAGTTTTTTTCTCCCTGGGACCGAAGGAGGAGGATTCGGGAGGGGCTGGTGACGATGGACAGAGGACTCTTCTGTGAGAGCTCACCCCACATTTGGAGTTTTTCTTGCCTTTCTATCAGCAAAGCGATCTGAGGTATGAATAAACACTCCTTGGCCTTAAAAACAAGGGAAAAATATGAAGTTCTGGTATCTCCCCACGATGCCCATAAGCAACGTGCTGCTCTTTGTCAGCTCAGGGGGCATTGGTGCTGTTTGAACTTGGAGCATTTCACTGCTGCCCCTGAGGCTGAGGGCAGAGATAAGGGCTTTCTCTGTGCTCTGAAGTGCACGGTGCAGTTGCTGACCTGTGTTTGTGCAGTACCTGAATCATAAAGAAGTTTTCGCGGCGGGAAGAGTCGCAAGTAGGTTGCAGGGGCATTAGCATGGCAGATGGTGAGGTCATCTGTTAGAAATCAAGGTGGGAAGTTCTGAGCCCTCTAATAATGAGTAGAACAAGTTAATTCTTATGAATTAATTCAAGGACTGGGCAGTGAAATTATGCTTCAGGATGTTGGGCAGGACGAGAAAGGCTGAGAAAATGACCAATTGGCTTGAAATACGTCAGTTCATGTCTTAAAACATCTCTCTTCCCCACACACTAAAAAATGTATGCATTTCAAAGTAAACAGTTCTGATGTTTTTATAAAGTAGATCAAAGAAGAGAAGTGTAATCTCTGTTCAGAGGCAGTCTGTTCGAGGATGATTCAGATAAGGGTGAGAAAAGAACCTCTTTTACGGTCTGAAGTGGGCTTGGGATGGCACAGTCCTTATCCTCTGCAAACACGGGCTAACACATTTACAGGTTGTTTCAGTAAACAGCCGCCACTGCTTGAGTTTATACAGCCAGAGATAATGAACTAGCTTTCACACAGAGCCGAACGTGTTTGAGACATCATGTTAATTCGGAGACTTCAAAGAAAACCGTGTCACGGCGAAGTATTTGCAGAGAGCTGGCAAAAGTAAAATAATGCCACCCTTCAGGCCGTTTTCCTTTAAGGCTGTCTATATTTTCTGAGGCAATCGTGGTTTTCTTTTTCCTCTCATAAAATGCAGTAGGAATTACGTGCCCTTTTGCTTAGAGCGTTGAAACCCGACCAGGCGTTTGTAGAAGTTGCCTTGAGCGTACTTCATACATATGTCCGCAGATCTTTTGTTCTCCTTGTTAATGAGAAGAGTTCTCTTGAATGTTAAGTTGGGAGCTTTGCTACTCTCCCTCTCTCTCTTTCTCTTTCTTTTTTTTTTTTTTTTCCCTGAAGAGGTCCCCCACCTACAGTAATCTCTAACTTTTGAAAACTACCAAGATGCAAGTTACATCGTACCTGTCCCTTTTAATGAAGAAAAACAATCAAAACTCAGAGGAAGTTTGGAGGAGGAGACTGTTGCTAAGTCTTCTTTGATGGCAATGAGTCCTAAGTACATTCAGAATGATTTGTCTGGAACGGACCATTACAGATAGTTTTAGTTAGCTTGGTTCCTAGTCCTATAAACAACTATAGAATTATAAGCATGTAATAAGTCAGTTAATTGTAAAAATGCATGGTTGAATCTATTGATCAGAGAGTCTACTGTATAGAGAGCAGAACTTAAAGTGCTGGTTAGAAACCTGAGTGTTAGTCCTGGAAACAGTGAGTTCTGTTGGGAAAAATTATAAAGAGACAGTCAACTTCTTAAGTGAATCATTACAATGCATTTAGTGTTACAGATAACATCTAATCACAAGGAGCAGTAAAACATCATTCCTTTATGTTATTGTTTCTACTTGTTAATTATTATTGTGCTGATGTTAGTAGATGAGCAACAAAGGGGAGTTCCGCTCTGATGGCAGCCCTAAAATTTGCATTTTATTGTTAATGCTGGGCTTAGTGTGCTTTGTTTTATTTCTGTAGTGATTGATGTTACTTATTTATTTATTTTACCCGACCAGATTGGAAGAATTGCCCTTACAGCTTTTGGGACAATATCTTTAGTTTCAAAAGGCACAGGGAATCAATATATAATTTTTGCACTTATTACATTAATTTTCAGGTTCATGAAAGGATTAAAGGCTTCCAATGCTTCTTCTTTTTTTTTTTTTTTTTTTTTTTTCCTCCTTCTTGAGACCAAATTACTTAGGAAAATCTTATAATTTGTACTTAAGAAGCTAGGAGTAGAAGTTTCCACCTTGTCCAGCATATGCTGAAAACCACATATCCTTTTGGAGAAGAGGGAAAAAAGGTAATCTGAAATTTTCCATCTGCTCTTAGTGAAGCCTTACACAGATTTAGGTTAGAATTACTCTGAGAACTGCTGCTGATGATAATATATTTGCTTTTAAAATAATACAAGTATTTTTAATTTATAGTTGTAAGTAGCATAACACAGATGTACTGCGCTGCTTCTTAGACAGTACAGCATATTGGAAACACTATTTTTTGCCTTGGTATAATTGTTAGCAGAAGACCATGTTCTAACATGAAGTGGCTGTCCTAGTTTTAAACACTGGCCCATTTCTTGTAAACAGAAGTGAGGTCATAACATCAAAGCTTTATTGCGATATCATGTGACTGCCCTCTAAAAATGTTTAGTGTTTGTTCAACACCGTCGTTTATCTGTAATATCTTTCTGCCATTTGATACTGCCGTTGATATTATACCTTTTTTGCTCGTTTTTGTTCTCTTCATCTGCAGAACAAAACTCAACAAGGACTTCAGCAAAACTAGAAGGTGGCACACATGTGGCCATGAAAGTTATAAACATGAGAATGACTCATGTTTTAAGAGACTAACGCTGTTCATGCTTTGTGTGTTATAACAGTGATTTAACTGTTCTGTTCTAACAGAAAATCTGCACTCTGAGGTGCAGAGGGTTGTTTAAAGCGTCTCTCACACCCTTCAAAGGATTCTGATGGAGTAATTGCAAGGCTGTAAGTGAACACCACGCGAGGGCAATTACAATTTAAAGGGTCATTGCTGCGTGTTCCTACTTAGCAATTATCACTCAGTAGATCCTGCGGTGAAACACCCATCTGGTCTTTCATTGATTGTTAGCCCTTTCTATGATTACCTAGAGGACAGAAAGCACAATGACCTGTTTCTTATAGGCTAGAGAGGTGTACTGGAGGAGTAACTGCTCCATATCTTAGGCTGTGACATACTGATAACCTTTCATGACTGAGTTTTCTGGTTTTCTTTTGGTTATTTCAGTGCACTGTCTTACAGTAATTAACGTGTTTTAGTTATTGGCTCAGTTGTGAAGAAAAGCAGTAGTTGTTCAGCATTGGTTTGGTTATGGAATATATTAACATGTAGAAGCTGGGTTTTTTGTCAGTATGCTAGCAGTGAAGCTATCTATATAATGAAGTGCACCGAGGGTTAATTCAATCATTTGAAAAAATTCTAAGGACACTCATTTCTACCTTGAATGAAGGATACACTCAGCTAAATGACACATTTTCAGTAGTACTAGCAGCTCTGCAGTTGAAGAGAGATGTCTCCCTTACCTGCATGCGTTTTCCTACACGCTCTTCTGATCTGTCAAGGAGTCTGCTTAGGTTTTCAGCTATTAAACAAACAGGAAAGAGAAAATCAGGTGCCTTTTAACAACTGTGAGGGCTAAACCTAAAAGGCTGGATGAGCTCCACAGCCTGTACAGAGGAATGTTTGGACTGTGGATGAGATAGAAATGGTGTGATTCCTATTAGTAGTAAATGGTATTGGTGCATTTGATAGAGGAACAGTTTTCACATTCAGGAGGTCAGTATAGCAGCTCTTTTTGTCTAGATGGAGAGACTAAGATAAGAAGTACTTTGTTTACAGTTGAAGTGGTGATATTCAGTTATATTCAAGTAAGAAGTTCTAATTGGAATTGATAACTGTTACATAGCTATATTCATGTTTACATGGAAGGATTCTATAAAACTACGTAATTAAAATTGTAGATTAAACTCAGTGTCAGTGCCATTCATCCTTCAATTAGCTATCAGCATTTAGTTTTTCATACAAGCTAATTGCATCTAATTGTCAGTGATCAAACATAATCCTTTCCATTTCAATCCAGCTGTCTCCTGTGTATTGAATTGTTCATCTTACACAAAATCCTGCTATCTCAGGAAACAGAGCTGGCAAAAACACATTAACCTAGGAAATACTGCTTTCGCTAACAGGTAATCAACTAACATCTGTAGGATCATCACTTAGAAAGTTTGTTTAAATAAACATTTAAAGAAGCTCTCTGAAATATCATCTCCACATCTAGGTATGCTCAAAAGAACGGATAAATTATTATAGGTTACTTAAAAAAGAAAAAAAAAAGAACTAAAGTATATACACTATTTTTGTGTATTGCAGAAAAATATTTTGGATCTATACTTACGTTTGTTGAAGTAGCATTTTAAAGGCAATGTTTGGAATTCTTAGCTACTTCTTCCCCAAGAGAGTGTTGGGCACTGGCACAGGCTGCCCAGGGTGGTGGTGCAGTCACTGTCTCTGGAGATGTTCAAGAAATATTTAGATGTTGTACTGAGGGACATGGTTTAATGGGAAATATTGGTGACAGATGGGTGGTTGGGCTGGATGATCTGAGAGGCCTTTTCCAAACTTGGTAATTTTATGATTCTATAATACAGTATGGCTTGATATCTTAATTTCTAGAGTAACTCTATTTTGTAGG